GGCGGTATTTGCAGTCAGTTTTCTATATTTCCCGCTTTATACTCCTTTGGCACGTGATTCTCCAAAATCCTCCGATACCCCTCCACCCACGCCATAAAAAATTGACTGGTCCCTAGTATTTTCATAAAACCTATGAGCCCCAACTTTAACATAAAGTTCAAATGAAATTCTTCTTACATGTGTGCTGCAAACATTATTCAAAACAGTACTTGTGGAAATTTGTCAAAATTCTGGGCACTGTTCTTTGGCAACCGCACTCTTGATTCTCCTGACCTTAACCTGTGATGAATATATTCTGCTGACTGATATTCTGAGGATGATTTTGATGCTTTCCAACCTAACGGTTTAGTAAATTAAATTTTGGAGCAATTTCTTTCGAGTGTCGTTAACCAAAACCCAAGAAACGAAAACCACACATCAGCGCAGAAATTAACTTGTCAAAGAACTAATGTAGATTCAAACCTAAAGCATGTGAAGGATCGTAATCGCGGGGAATAGCGGGTGACCAGTGGATTTGGATTTTCATCTAAGAGGACGTTGCGAGATTCTTAGACCAATCACAGTACTATGAGGCAAACTGATGTGTTCCAAACTATCTTTACCCGGCTTCGGTTGGAAATTCCCGTAATGCAAATTTGAGTGAACGCGGATGAGATTTTAGTTTTGAAAGGAAGATGCACAACACCTATTTTGTTCTATGTGATCCAAAGGAAGTTATTCTTTTCCCATTTTAACTCGAAAATAAAATTATAACAATCATCATTTTGTTTCTTCCAGTCGAGTTGCGGCTCTTTGTATTGCACAAAGGACGGCGGTGCCTCTTGTGTGAGCAGCGTTGTGCCACAAGCAGATGGTTCAAAATGCGGTGAAAGACAGGTAAACAATATTACAAAGCTGCATTTGTGCTAGAATAATCTCTTCCACAAAATGTCCTCTCTCAAATGTTCCTCCAATTTTACTTTCTTGTTCTTTCGTGTACCCTCATTTTGCACTGATTGATGTGTCCTGCCTGTGATCAAAAGTGGTGCATTAAAGGAGAATGCGTTGATGACGGATCGCCGATGATTGACGGAGGTTGGAGTCAGTGGTCAAGCTATGCAGAATGTTCATATTCCTGTGGTGGTGGTGCACATTACAGAACAAGAAATTGCACTGATCCCCCGTAAGTATATATGTATTCTTTTTCATCAGCAATTTGTGATCACAGCATTTACTTGAAGTATATTTATATGAGGTTTAGTAACCCTCCAGCCGAAAATAGATGATGGCCCTTCTAGCCTGTTTCTGTTTGTTTATGAATAATCAGTCACAATTTATCATGAGTCCTTTTAATAAGACTGAGAGGCATAAAGCACAACCGTGTCTTTACCGTTTTTGCACAATTGGTTTTAGATTGGGGTAGGATTTTTTAAGGGGGAGGGGGCGTTCTCCCTCTCCCCTTATCTCTATGTCTGACTATTGCCCGTCCGTCCGTCCGTCCGTCCGTCCGTCCGTCTGTCCGTTCGTACGTTAGTTTGTTTCGGTCACTTTTTGTTTGTCTCTGTCTTTTTCTACTGTAATTGTTTTTCTTCTCATTTTTCTGACTATTTTGTAGACCTAAAAATGGAGGCATGGATTGCGAAGGGGAGAGTGTAGGACATTGGAGAATATGCAATCCAGAGGTAATGATGATGGCGGCAATAATGAAAATGATGATAGTTAAATAATGATGATAATAGTAATCATTATGGTTATTATTATTATTATAATTATTATTGTTATCATTATTGTGATAAGAAGAATGTTGATTGGGTGAGATAAACTTTATCAAAAGTGACATTGCTGCATTGCTGACCATAGTTATTATTTATAGCGGCATTACGAGACTATCTAAAGCAACAAATAGATCACAGCCGACCCACCTTGACTGACAAATCGAAACTGATCACAGATTACAAAGGCCGAAAGCAACTTGGGTTTTATATGCGGGCAGTTTCATATGTTGATCAGTTTCAACGAAGCAGAACTAAAAAGTACAAATGAAAAGCAACTCCCGCTGAACCAACATGATAATGTTTTCCGACCAAGCTATGGAAACGTCGGTCACTATCGTAGACAAAAATGTTTTTGACGACTGATTTCAGCCGGAAAACGACAAATAAAAATCGTTTTAGAATCTCATCAGTAAGAAATCTACTCTGACTGTTATGGCAGGCTTGTCCAGAGGGAACACCGACCCATCGAGAGGCACAATGCACCGCGAAATGGTCAGGATCATATCCCTATAAGTTACCTGGTAAGTATAATGTATCTTAACATTCAAAAAAGGGAGCTATGAAATTTTGATTTTACTACATTTGGGAAATATAGAGACCGTCATCTCAAAGTCTTTCACGGTCAAAGTATCCCGTAGAAATTAACCTTGATCTTACACGTCTTTCACTTGGAATTCTTTGGATATTTGCAAATCTTGACCATCTTTGAATCTTATTTCTGGTTGACTCCTACCTCTTTGATGACTAGCTACCTCACGAAATATTACTTGGAGAGTCCGATCTATCTTAGGGGAGTCTCTTGGTGCAGTTCATATAGACTAAGCCTCAGCCTTTGTCTTATGTAAAAACACAACGAGTTCTTTCTGAGCGAAAACCAACAAAGCTACATTACAGAGGAAATGGAAAGACTATCATCTTCGGCAAAAATGGTTTGGGCATCCATCTCGACGTGGTAGTCGTGAAATGATAGCTTTACCTGCCCCTTGTGCACACTTCCGTTACGCAGCGCCTTCCTTAAGGAGCGTGTGTTACGCATTAAGACTTAACAAGGATTGCGAAAGGGACTATTTTCCTTTCCATTTTGCGACCTATATTCAGAGAAAAAAATTAAAGGAACATTTTAATGGGAAAAGGAAAATATGAGGAAGCGCTGTTTCCCTGTTCTTCACTCAAAAAAGGGAGTGTCCCAGGAAATTACTTGGAGATTTTAATAGAATTTTTCAGTTGATAACAGTGATCTGGGATTGTCCCTAATACATATATCTATATTTTACAAAGTATTTAAAGTTTTTTCTTCTGTTTTATTCACGGCAGACAGACATCCTTGTCAGTTGGTCTGTAAGTATGGAACCAAAGTCCGGCCATATGGAACTGTGAAAGATGGAACACGATGTAGCCTGGACAGAAAAATCAAAGATGTTTGTATCGGAGGCAAATGCAAGGTTCGTCAATAAATTGAAAAAAATGGCATTCTTAAAGAGGTTGTCCAACTTGGCTTTAGATTTAAGAACGACAAGTTTTAAAGGCATTCGACACAAACAAAAATATACATCATAAAACTGAGTAAGATCAATTTAAACATAATTTCTATTAATTCATTAAAGTAATCGATACCGATGACAGCTCTATCGATGACAAGTTGAAGAACTTACCTGCTTAAAATTATTTTAATTGTAGTCTGTTGGTTGTGACAATATTCTGGAATCTGGTGTGAAGTACGACCGCTGTAAAGTTTGTAACGGAGACAGTACAACCTGCAAAATGGTCTACGGCAAAGTACTAACGCCCTGTAAAGGTTTGTTGGAACACGGCTGATCGCATGAATAGATGATAATTGTTTACTGAAAAGTACATTATCATCACTCTATGCAGGTTTAGCTTGGTTCTCACTTGTGATTTATTGGAGGCTAGGTACAAAGATTAAGACCTCAGTGAGAAATTACTACATCATAAGATAGCAATCTGGAATGAGAAATACAGCTTTAGAACGTCTTTTGTTCTTGCTCTCGCTTTTGTTCTTTTGTTCGTTCAATCCTGGCAATCACAACTCAGAGCAACAGCTATGAGCACTTAACTCATTTGAAACCGATCTTGAAGTGGATGACAAACCATGTAGAAGGTTAGATTGATAACACGCATCAATAGTGAAGCTAATGGATGAATCACAAAATCTATCAACTTTTTACATCCATCAGGCGTACTCCATGAACGATTTGTCAAAAATGTTTTTTTCCCTCCCAAACATCATGAGCAGCATGAGTTCTGATAGGCCATATTTGATAAATAATTAATCTTTATGGGAAAAAAGGCACACCTCAGTGCCGGAGAAAAATGCTATCCGGCAGCCCTACAGGATTCTCAACTATTCCAAAATTTGCCAGGTAGCTCAACTACGGATGGGGAGAAGCCGTTATGAGGATCGGCTCCGTCGTGCTCTCCTGATTGATCCACATACCCTTAGTAGTCCTATAGCCTAAAAAATTATTTTCTCCAATTCATTGATTTAGGAAGTTGCACAGTTTTAGACGTTCCCATTGGTGCAACGAATATAACGGTCAATGAAGAAGTGGAAGACTGGAATTTTCTGGGTAAGGGTTTCTCTGTTCGATTGATAAAGTTTAAAATTTCCAGTTGGAACCGCTCCCAGATATGAGCGTAGATTCCTGTAAACACATAGGCATTGGAGGAGGCAAACTGAAGTAGGTGACTATTGCAATAAGCAGTAGTTCTCGGTGCTGTTGAGGTTGTGGGAATGATCGCCTTAGGACCTCGGCAAGAGAGGTGCGAATGCAAACCCTAGCCTGTTCATTGTGTCGTGTTCTTGGCGAGGCTCTCTACTCTCACGCTACTTTTCGTACTCTTGTACTGATGAGTAAACATGAGTACCAAACCAAGGCTTCATTTAATGTTAACCGAAAAGTCACAGCAGATTTATCTTTAATCGTTTTTCTATTCATGACCCAAGGTGTAAAAGATGATTCTGGAAAAGACATATACCCTGTGACGCGTACATGGAGTATATCTAAACACGCTGCAGGGACCATTGTGTATTATTATCACGAAAAGAACGAAGACGCTGATAGAGTCTTCATTCCCGGACCAACCAATGAACATCTTCAAGTCTACGTAAGAGGGGGGTCGATGTTATTTACTTGATACCTTCATAAAGCTCTGTTATATGCTTATTATCCCTCTTTCCCCTCATCAGATTGATTGGCAGTCAGTTTACTTAAGTCTCCGCTTTACATTCTGATGGCAACGACTGATCCTTCGTCCATTCCACCTGAAAACCGTTCGATCTCCCAAAATCCTCCAACCCCCCGCCCCCTCCCCCCTCCCAGGTGATAAATAATCCAACACCATATTCAGACATATATTCATTGGGTATGGCAAAAAGGTAAGACAATAAATCTTATTGGCTCTTATTTCGATTTTCGAAAAAATGTGGCAGTATAAAAGGAATGCTTCAGAGAAAACTGTTTGTTCTCCCTGTTGTGTCCAGTCTTGAGGTTTTCACTTAATCTGCAGCTGGAAATTAACATACGACATGAACAATGTCTATCAATACCGAAATTTTGTAATCAAAAGTGGTTAATTAATTGAATTTTCCGAGAACCGTGGAAACAAAAATGAATGACAGCGGTTGGAAATGGGCAACTTGTACAAACGGTAACCGACAGAAATCAATGGCGTTCTCTAACCGAGGCCTTTTGTACATGGACGCACAAAGAAGACCAACTAATTGAAATTGCTAGATGACCAATCAGTAGATTAAGCTTCAAACACTTCTTCTCTTCTGGTGTATTTGTAGTATAAGCAATATGTTGCAAGGCAGCCAGTGGATTACTCGCTTAATGAACCTGCTGGCGATGAACATCTAAAACCAGGAGCAGCTAATTGGGTTAAAGGCGAATGGAGTGTATGCACACACTCATGTGCAGGAGGTAGGATGATTCAACAAAACCTAGTGATTTATAAATAAAGGGGGTAAGTTTCTGAAGAAACTGTGGTGCTGCGTCGGTGGGAGAGTCTAACAGGGTAATTTAGTGTTATCAACTGAGTTGAAAACGTCAATCGCTTTGACGAGGGGCTAACGCGCGAAACGTCAGCCTTTAAACTCTTTACGATGATCAATGGCTTAGAACTCCGTTACCTCGAGCTTTTTGTTTCGTCGAACTTGAGAATTATTTAGTTTTGAAAAATTTAACTCACCTTAATTTCTTTATTATCATTTATAAGGAATTCAAATTAGGACAGTGGAATGTATCTTACAAACAGATGCGACTTATTTAAATGATGCCGTTTGCGAAAAAACGACTCCAAAACCCGCTAAACAGCAGGACTGTAACACTCAGAGCTGTCCTCCTACGTAAGTAAATCAAAATTTCCAGCTCATCATGTTTTTTAAACCCCGAAGGAAACCAAAAAAAAAAAGAGATAAATTAATCGATTTGTAGAAACTATTTCTCTATATTATCTTCTTTCCCACAGTTATCGTACTAGTATTTTGTTCAGACATCATTTTGACGTTAATTAACGTTTAATAATGTCTGGCCCTAAATCGCGAACAAAATCTAATTTTTTTATTACTGTATCTGTTATTACTGTTATTTAAATGTTTGCTTGTTGTTTACCGTCTAGTTGGTACGTATCTGGATGGCGTCCATGTTCTAAGACTTGTGGTAAAGGAGCGCAAACACGTGAAGTCGTTTGTCGACAAGAGGTAACCAGAGGAAAATTCCAAACACTATCCGACTCCAAATGCACCGGCAACAAACCGTCTGACCCAGTGTCACGTGACTGCAATAAGATAGACTGCCCTGCTGAAAACGTTCCAGGAGATTGGTCAGCCGTAAGTGAAATTAAAAAAGTCATAACAGACAAATATGCCAGGGTTTCACCGAGAGCTAGTAAATATGTCTGTCGATCTGAAAAAATCGGGCTAAATTGTTCCGTACTAAAATAGTATGATGGACATTTTGGGGTCCTTTGAACAGATGGCGTAGATATTGATGGAGTATGGCACACGACTTGGGGGGGGGAAGAGAGTAAGGGGTTTGAGCTCTTTTTATCCATTAGGCGCTACGTTATCCGGTCGTTTCGAGCCCACCGTTTTTTCGTACCCAAACTGCTGATCGATTCTTACCTGGAAGGTAAGAATCGATCAGTAAACGTTTGTTTGAAATACCTCACGCGCGAGCGCATGGGCAGATATCAATTTTTGCGAACGACGAGTTAGTAGAGTCAAGCAAGTCTTTAAAAAGCAGACATCGTTCCCTTCCGAAAGTTCATTGACTACATCGATCACTTGTGATGTGCCTCATTGCTTATATGATAAAACAAATTAATTTGTATTGTTATTTACAGTGTTCCACTTCATGCGGAGCGGGAATCAAAACCAGGAAAAAGTCTTGTCAGCGGTTAAAAGAGACAGGTGTGTTTGAGCCTGTTCCGGAGGTCATGTGTTCGGCAGCAACTGTTCCCCCTTTACAAGAAGGCTGCAATCAGGATGTAAAATGCCCAGGTATAATTATAATAATAATTGTAGTTATTATTATTTTAATAATAATAATAATAAGAGATAGCGAGTGTATTAGCAAGCGAACGCGCAATAGAGCGAAAAAGTGGAGAAACTAACAGCAGGCGAAGGGACGAACCGGTGAACGATGAAATAAACAAAAAAAAGGGAAAATAGAGCGAACGAACGAAAAACTAAAGGTTAGAACGAGTTAATTTTTCGTTTGGTAAAGTATCATTTCCGCATGCATCCTTAAAAAGAATGTTAAATTTCACTTATTCGAAGGCTGTAGCCAATAAACCAACTAATCAGCTGCTTCAAAATGTTACTATTATCATCATTATTGATATTATGAGTACTATTATTTTTATCATCACCCTCATTAATATCAGTATAATCATTACTATAGTTATTCTGATCTTTCTCGTAGTTATTTCTATCTATACACCACTCTTTTCCAAATCCTCAGGTGATCGCCTGTACGAACCATTAGGATGTTTCAGAGACGGTAACCCTAGAGCCTTACCACAACTGATCAAAAACTTAAGGAAGGGCATTAACTGGGGTGACATGTCCGAGACCGTGGCGAAATGCGCCAAGGCGACAGCAGAGACAGATCCTAGTCTGAAGGTGTTCGGTCTTCAATTCTACGGTGAATGTTTCTCCGGTACCAATGGTTTAAAGACATACGATAAATACGGTGCCCTGCCTTACGGTAAAGATAAAACTGAACATTGCTGGGAAGGAGTGGGAAGCGCTGGAATCAATTTTGTTTACAAGTTTGTCGACTAAAGTGGTATGTGCGCCTCAAATACTCAGGTTTGGTCTATCTAAAGGGGGCCGGGAAACTGGATCGAGTGAATGAACATAATGGAATATGGTCATGAGACTTCCAGAGATAAATGTGGGAAATGCTTTAAAACGAAATGAAAGAAAACACTTATGTTGAATTTTCTCTTAGCAACCCTAGCAATAAGTTCACGTGGTCGCCTCAGCATGCATGTCCGAGCAGTCATGGCCGCTTGTCCCTTTTCCTCTACTTTGTGATTCTTAGATTGTAACAAACTACGGAAGTTAAAATGTCTGTTCGCCAAGTCCCCTTCAATCGTGAAAGATAGTCATTTCGTTGTAATGTTGACTTGTATTCTCCAAGAGTAGATGTAAAAGCCGTTTCTGTTTATGAGTAAGCACCGAGCACCAAGCTACAACGTCTCAAAGTAGCATCGATTCTATTTTTTCCTTTTCCCCCTTCTGCTGAATCCCCTCTCCAATGGGTTGTTAATTGTACTGATGTGACCGTGCTCCCAAACTGGTTTACTAGCCACAATTTTTTTTTTTGAGTTTGATACATCTACAAGGAAAATAAAGAATGTATGTTTTGTAGCACGATGATGATGTTTTGCTATTAGCCGGTTCTGTTTGCCATCTAAGGACCTTAAACAGTCAGGACGGCAACGCCGAGGAAGACTTCGATTAAAAATGAATTTCTGCCTTAAATTAGAATTTCGAAAATGGCTGCATTTGTTTATTGTCTCATACGGCGCCACACCTCAACTTCAGCAAAACGTTTAAAGAAGCGTTGAGTTCCATATGGAAATTAAAATAATTTGCCGTCGCGGTTTCGGTTCGCAGAGACGCAAATTGTGATGATTTCACGTTGTTGTTTTGTATAGGACGGCTAAGAAATGTACAAAGTTTTAAAATGCACGTGCTGAGCTATTGTTCTGCCAATTAGATCTTTTGTTTTTCCACGTCCTCGTTGCCGTCGCTGTCGTGGTTTGCTAAAGGTCCCTATTTAAAGCTAGAAGAGAGGCATATAACGGTCACTCGAAAAGTATGACCAACTCACAAGGCAAAACTATTGAGGAGCTTCTGGGCTTACTCTTAGGAGGGCTGATATCTTTACAGAGAATGAGTTTATTGGGGATCACAAGCAAAGCAAAAGAACCTGGGATTTATGAAGCAAACCCAAAGAAATGTTAGGGAAGAGAGTGAATAACTTCCGATGAACTAACATTTCACACATAGGAGAAGCAATACTCCATGTCAATCACTAACTTTACATTTTCTGCGTTATTTTTTTCCGCAGGATTGGACTGATGATAAAACCTCTCTGAATATGATGTGAAGAATACTCAAACAAGATCAATGAAAAAGGAATTACGGAAAAAAATATCAAGCACCTAACATAACAGTTTATGTAGTTACGAATACTTAGCGCCATTTTTCTTCCGTTTGCAAAAAAAAAAAACTTACTGTTAAGGTATCATGGGTGAAATATTAAACAGTCTAAATAAACAAAGCTTGTCACCTTGCTTGCTCTCGTGCTCCTTCTATTTTCGCAATCAAGTGGCTTTTTTTAATTAAATGATAACTCGGAGACTAACCGCAATTACATTTTAGAGATAAAATGTAATTGTACATCATAACCACCATGGCCCACAGTACCTTTTGGATGGCGAACGGTACACGTACTTCATCATCCTTCCACCATATCAGTGGTGCTGTTGCAGGTCTCATAGAATAATTTAGCTTCCGCGGTTCATGTAATGCACTTGCGTAGCTCCATAACAAAGAGAAAATGGTAACCTTACATGTTGAAAAAATTTTGTCGTATTTTTATAACCGTCCGTCTGGTATCTACCGCATTCTGAAGTTTTAGGAAGTATGCATAACCTGTGTGAATACTTTGGTCACCACGTTTAAAAATATTAGCGTCTGCATTTTCTTTTCAGTTGCTTGGTTTGGTGTTTTGTTTTTTGGTCAAAAAACGGTTTTCTTAACTCTTTAATTTACCAGAAAAGCGCTATCGCCGTCCCCATAAAGAGAGATAATCCAAATTAAATAGAGATATCCAAATTAAATAGAAATATTTAGATTTCATGGTCGTCACCGTAAAATTAACAACATTATCACGTATTCGCCAACAAAATCCTTGCGTAGTTGTTATCGCTCTTTTATGGTTGCTTCAGTTGCAACTCGATTGGTGCTTTTCGATCGAGACTTATGAGACAAAAACCAATGTTATGACAACTGCCTATCTAGAAAAAAGAAAAATAACTCAAGGAGGCAAAGAGAAGCAAGAGTGAATACGCGAATGACCAAATTGAGTCTGGATTTAATTTCGTATGAATGGTTGAGAGGGAAGCAAAACCAATGCAAATCCAGATATTTACGAAAAAAATGAAAACTGCTTGATTTCATTAACGGGGCGAGCTCCAGTCTCCCAGGGGCTCGTCCATATCAAGTTTGAGTATCCTAAAGTCGGACCCTTAATCAATCCTTGCAAAAACTACGACAAATCTGTCCTACTCTCCCTCTCCGTTGGTTTCTGTTTCTGTTTCGCAACCACATATAGACTCTGAAAAACATAAAACACGTCAGTTTAAACAATAAAAAGCAATTTTCTATCCATACGCGCCGAGATAGATGAAATAAAATATAAAAATTACACAAGCAGTATAGGTGCTGACTTAAGATACAACCTCGTGAACACCCTTTTCATATAAACACAGCTGAAATCCTTCGTTCAGTTTCCACATTTAAAAATAAGTTGCTTTGGAATAATTTTAAGAGTATTGATTCTTTCAGTATTTCACCAGTTTTCACATTTAAGACAAAATGTACCTGAAAGTCAACAATAGGCACCTGGTTGGTCTGTAAACACTGGAAATACTCTGTCATTCAGCACTAAAACAAATACAGTCGATCTCCTCGTCTTCCCACATGATTCGACAGCCCTTTTTCACAATTTTTGGCAAGATTTGATCTACATTTTGGATAAAGAGGTAAGTGGAATTGGAATAACTCGGCATTGTTGATCTAAAGATAGAGCAAGGATACCTAGGCTTTCCATAAATCATTACAACGTGAGAAAGATCAATTAGCAACAAAAGATGGTGTCAATCTGTTTCGAAGAGATTTTTCGGCTTTTCTTCAATAGGGAGGCACATTTCAAGGATAAGACAAACTTTTCATTGCATTGAAGAATATGCCATGACTCCAGGGATTTTAATTCATGTGTTACTTAGTTGAATACCAAAATGACAGAAGCTGGCGCGGTTTTAACAATTGGAAAAGTGTAGGAGCGAGAAATCAAATAAATGTTATTGCACTTGTTTACTTTTTGTCGTTGAATGTTATCCGGACTTACCGGGTGTTAAGAAAATTATTTAGAGAACATATAAACTATAGCAAGCGATATGTTACTGCAGTTAGTTGCAGACAAGTCTGCCATCAGTACTGTATGTTTTTCGTTTTGTTTAAATGAATAACGACAACACTTGCGTGAAATGCATCGGTTTAGAATTCTATTTGCGTGTAATTTGAAATGGGTCTACATGAATCATTTCTGTTTGTTCTCGTTCTTTGATATTTGCCCGATTTCCTGCGATTCCATGCCTTTGCAAGTATCAGCTTTCAGAACCTAAAGTGCCAATTACTTCAAAGAAGGCAATTCTCGTTACATTGGGTCGTTTGGTCAAAAATTCTCAAAAAAAATATAAAGGCGCAGCTCACCTTGACAGGCGTACTTAAAGACTGAATTGTTAAGGGCAATGATTAACTCAGTGAATGTCAATAAAAAAATTGACACTTTTTGTTTGAAATACCCTTCCAAGGCATAAATATTGATAAATACTAGCCTCACGAAAGAAAATTTTCATTTGAGAATCAACACATGGCAACAAGATTTTCAGGATAAAACAGTAACAAACCAGTCTGAAAAATTTGGGTAAGTGCTCTACTATCCCACATAGTTTTCGGGGGAAATAAAATTACTCTCTAAAAAACTGACATTCTATGTACAAAACAGTTTAAACGTTTTTGTCAGACAAGCCTAATTTACATTGCTTTTTCCGCTAACAAACACAAATAACATCTGCCTTTTAGCGAAATGAAAGGAAATTTTCTCATGTTCTTGTTTTACGGCAGTCTCAGTCCCCTTTGAATTAGACTACTGCGCGAGCTTTTTTGCAGACAACAAGGTAACGTTGTGCTTTTCTTGGTCTATCTTTTACTTTACAAAGAATATTCTGTGGCTCAGAGAAGCTTTCGCCATTTTAATTTTCAAATTTATCAGCTGTAAACTAACAGACGGACTTGTGCGGCTAAATTTTATTGATCTCGCCATTTCCATTTGAGGTGAAAACCACAACCTACATATTCTGGGATGAGGAAAACATTCTGAAGTCTATTTTTCCAAAATCTCAATAAGTTACTTATTCTGAAATCAGCTTGGCTCCAGTTTCGTGGTAGTGAAGCCCAGTCTTACAGTTGATTTGTCATTGCTTCGCTTAGAAATCTACCTCTAATATTGAGTTCGACTCAAAGAAGATCATATTTAATGCCGAAACTCACCCAACGTTGCCTTGACTTTCAGTTAAATCTCACTCTTAATTGTGTAATCTGTTTAAAACTTGATGGCTTTTGTTTCGACCATTACATTCCTTTTGGACTCAAGCTTTTTATTCTTAAAAAGTAACTAATTCATGGAAATATTTCACAACGGCGAGCCTATAGATGCACGGGAATGCACTTTGTACTTATACGCACTGCTCTTAGCTCACCTTCTTACCACTATAAAAAGATTTCGCGTTTGAGAACAGGTGATGACAAAAAGATTTTTCTTCGCAGTTTTCAGAATTTCTGATAAAGATGAAGCATCTACAAGGCGAAAAGGATAAACTGTTACGGATATGGTCCTAACGAGTTTTGACAGAATAGGCTGATATACTTTTCTGTCCTAAACAAGAGCTTTCAAGAAGGCTTCGGTTTAAAAGTTTTGTTGCTCTTCATGAGATTTAAAATAATGCTAAGCTATACCAACTTTTATGCAGTTTATGCAGATATGCAAACTTTGGTCTGTCGCTAAACTGAATTAAATCGAGTTCAAATCACCAATGCCTCGCACTACGCTAACTGAAGCGTTGTACAGTTAGTTAGTTACAAGCAAACCCTAGAATCTTTGAAACTACACAAAGAAATAGTGCATTGCTTAAGAGATATACGTCTAGGACTGTCGGTTCCCTGTGAAAACCACATGATCACAAAAATTGTTTTCAACTTTTCTTTTCAGAATCCTCGGCAGCAATGCTCTCTGTGACTAAAATTCTATTACAAGTGGGCGTTGTTCTAAGTATCGTTTCAGGTATGAAAATTAGATTTGAAAACCATAGCTTTATTATCGTTTCGTGTGACAGTGAGATATAACAATACTTTGCTTTTATTTCCTAGAATCGGTCACGTCTACCATCAACCAAAAGGTATTCATAAGATTTTGATTTGAAAATGTCTCATTGTCACGAAAATCAAAACTTCATTATTGCATTTTCGACGTCGACGGTTGATCTCACCATAGCTATTGTTAAAGAGTGAATCATTTATGTAAACATAATTACTGCGATTGAGACAATTAATTCCTTAGGGGCCAGTCTGTCTTCAAAATGGAAGATCCCACCTTTTTGAAAACTAAAAGCGAGCCCTTTAGGAAAGCTTGCCCCAGAGACTCAAACCTTACGTCATTCACGCATCTCAAAATGCCACTTCCAACCAGCGACATTTACGTCCACTACACAAAGTGCGAAGCTTTGTTTCGTGGACCCCAGACGTTTTTAGTGCGATCTTGATGGACAAATTGAGTCTACTGAACCGAGGTTTACATGCTATACTGAAAGTAGTTGTAAAATGCCAATAAACGTTTTTCATGATCTTGTGATTAGGTTCCAGCACTCCATCATCGAATGACAAAAAGGGAGATATCAAACTATTTTGGAGCGAACTCCCACTCAGAAGGTCCGTATTCAATGTAATTATTTTTCTTATTTCGGGGCCCCTTTTTATTTATCGCCTGAGAGAGGTGGGTTTGGAGGATTTTGGGGCGATCAAATCTTTTTCAGAGGGAACAGAGGGGGGATCACAAATTGAAATACCACAGAGCCTCAGGAGGATCACGTAAATGTTAGTGTGAGACAGCCAAAATCCTCCCACCCCTCCCATACTGCATTGAAATTCTCAGTTTGTATCAGAAACTTAACAAACATTGCTCATTTTGTCGTATTTATTGTTTGTTATATATTTGCACTCGTGTTTTATCTAATGACTGTTATGTTTTATTATTGTCATCGTTAGTGCCTGAGTATGAAGTCATCTCGCCATTCCAAGCAGACGAAACTGGGGAATTTCTTTCTCATGAACTTCACAAACGTAGTCGCAGGAAACGAAGCACAGATCAACCCAACAACTGGTTTTATAACATGGAAGCGTTTGGTTTCAAACTCCATTTGAATGTCACCAAATCAAGACATATACTGGCCCCTGGAGCTATTGTAGAAACAGTCCATGAAAACGGGAGCAAATCCTACGCCGCACCACCTAAGAATACCTTCTATAGTGGCCATGTAGTGTCCCATCCTGGTTCTGTAGTTGCCGTCAGTAACCACGATGGATTGGTATAAATATGTAGACTTCAATGAATAATGAGTGTAAATGTTCCTGTTTTTGCTTTACGTTAAAGTAAAGCTCTTTTTCCGTGTATGACATGCTATAAGCTTCCTATGAGATGACAAAACATAATTGTTAACTCTCTTTATTTCTTAGAGTGGTATGATCAACCTTATAAAGCAGGCACTCTTTATACAGCCACTACCCAATCACCTCGCAAAGGATTATGGGTCATTTAGTGGTGCGCAGCCTCATTTGATCTTTAAAAGATCACTAGGAGATGTCATCGGAAGAGGATGTGACATATCAGGTAGAATACATACTGATAACGCCTATGGGGAAACCAACAATATAAAACTTCCAAATCGTGAAACATTGTAATTCTAATCAACCTTGGTTTTGCAACACAGATTCTCACGAGAGAATGAAAAGAAGCTTGGAAATTAAACGTTCAGTATCACATAAGCATTTAGAAGTTGCCATAGTAGCAGACGATTTGGTGGTAAAAAATCGTGGGGAAGAAAATCTGGAAAGACATCTCCTTATGTTGATCCACTTGGTAAAGAAACCTTACTCTTTTGTTGTCTTGCAGTGCATTTCTCTCGTATTAAACTTAGTTGAAATAAAACCCTTTTCAATGACCTAATTTTTGGAATGCATCTTAAATCTTGTATTCTCATTTTTTATTAAAACTTGTTAGGTCGATAGCATGTTTCACGACGAAAGTGTTGGAGAGAAAAAGGTATCATTGGTGGTAGTTAAACTGGAGATCAAGAAAGATGGGGTAAGGTTGTCTCTTTGGATTGTTTTTCTGTGTTTCTTCAAAAACGATGCCTCTAGCTACCCTCTTGTAAGGATCTTTACGTAAGCATTGGATCATTCTGGTGTTTTGTCAGTCTACAGAATAGACCATTGATATGTTAGTCGATTCTGGCTATTGGCAACCATTGCCTATTCAACACGTGAAAACAAAATGACATCCTTTCATTCTCTATGAACAGTGTCCTTCATTGTGATAAATGATCATTTTCTTTCAGGTGATTGTGGCAATAACCTTTTTATTTGATATCTTTCCAAAGAACTGAGCGATACATGATTTCTGTAACACAAGTATCAACCAATATCCGGTGCAGATTAAAGCACCATAGTCGTAAATGGAAATTAAATGAGTGTTCGTAAACGTAGTCACAAGGATGTTAGGAAAATTATTGTGTGCATTTGAATAGCCACTGCTTCTGAGTGTGTAACCCCAGTGTGTTTTTTTCTAATTTTATTTTTGTTCCAGATTTTGTTACTTTGTTTTTATAATTTTTTCTATTGGTTTATTTTTCTACAAATCTTTCTTTTATAACATCCAGTAAGCACTATCAGAGAGCGGACATTGAGTGAATGATCTCTACCAATCAATTTTCAGTTTGGTTACGATTCTTCAGCTTCCAATCATGTCAGACTAAGTAAAGTGAAAGCTTGGGGTGACAGCCTGCCAGAGTCAGACGACGATCCTAAACATGCTGACATTGTTATATTACTGACAGGGTGAGTAACAATTATAAACTCTTTTATTAATGGGGCATCATCCAAAGACACAGAGTAAGTGGGCTAGGATGGGTTATATTTGTTTCCAAAAAAAGCGGTGACTTATTCTGGAACAACTTCCAAATTGTTATCTTTTCCGCGCCCAGCCTGAGGGAAGTTTATGCAACGTTTCACATGCTTAGAAATATTTTAATGCGTAGGGCTTTATCACGTAAAAAAATAAATAAAATAATGCTGTTCGGTTAGGTCTGCTTTCGAAAGGTTTTTCTTTCAAACGAAAACGTAAGCCTAGAATGCCTAACTCATCCCCGCTGGACGACTTATTGGATCAATCAGAGTTTACAGTGAGCGGAAACCTAAAACAAAGTCCTCTTTTTTTTCACAGGGATGGCTTTGGAGGTAAACGGATGAGTTGTTGTCTAAATCGATAAAGATTTTTAATTCTGTGTCAGTCATGTTGCTACACCTCTGAATCGATTTCCCTTTCCAATTTTTGTAGTATACAATGAACGTTTTTCGAGATTAACTTTCAGAAATTCTTGCCTCGATTAGATCGTCGTGTCAGAGCCTAGACATGAGAATTAAGACCTCCACCAGCTCCTTATCACTTTTGAATAAATGTTTTTCCATTTTTCAATTATTCTTTTAACTTTCGGTTTACTCTCTTTTACTGCCTTACACAGAAAACGAGACGAATATTATTGATTTTTAGCTTTTAAGAACAAAAGACTTCATCATTTAATCAATTTTTAGGTTTAGCTGCTGTGGGTTCTACTTGCTCCTCAGAGTTTGGCAAAACTGTTAACAATGACATTGGCCTAACATCAGCCATCATTATCGCTCATGAAACAGCTCACACGTGAGTATATATATATATATCAGTGATGAACAGTTAGCAGGAAAATTACGAGGGATAACGGGTCCAAATAAATAATATCTACTACTTGTTGTATTAGTCATAAAATAAAAGACTTTATAAATACACTTCTTTTGCGATACCGAACGGTGCAATTGGATAATCTCGTTCATCCGACAGCTCCTGCAGTCTTGAGCAACTTATCTGCATTTAGGGGGTGGGTCTCGTCAGCCCTTCGTCAGCCCTTCGTCAGTCGCTAACGCTCGAAACGTCAGCCTTTAAACTCTTTGCGGTGGCCAATTTACGTTCTCAACTCAGTTGATAACACTTAATTACCCTTCGAATATAGAATCGATCCTCGTACTTAGAAAAAATTCAGGCCTGTACGGGATTTGAACCCATGACCTCTGCGATACCGGTGCTGCGCTTTACCAACTGAGCTAACTAGCTAGTTGGAATCTGGTCATTATGTTGGATCCAAACAAAACCTTCCAAGTGGTGAATAATGGCTATGAATATATGAAAATTATATATATGCACTGCAGTTGAAAAGAAGAATATAGAATCGATCCTCGCAGTTATGAACACTACTGAACTAGTAGTTGGAATAAGGCCTGAAAAAGATTTAGGCCCGTATGGGATTTGAACCCATGACCTCTGCGGTACCGGTGCAGCGCTCTATCAACTGAGCTAACAAGCCGACTGGGAGCTGGTCATTATCTTCCATGTAGATTTGGCGTGGGTCATGATGGAGAGCGGTGCAACAACGGGTATATCATGGCAAGCGTCGTAAGCGACGGGGAAAATGCATTCAAATGGTCAAATTGCAGCCGTACTCGCATTCAAGAATTCCTCACGTAAGTATATATACGAGAAAGTACTAAATCCTGGGATTTGAAAATTAACAGAGATGAAGGTTAGTAAAAGGGTCTGAGAAATTGAACAGCGAAACGAAAATTCCAATTGGAATACAAACAATCAACAGCATTGAATGATGAACATTAGATTATTTTGATTTATATCTTAAAGTACTCCCAATAGTTTAAAACAGAATATACATGATCAAGCACAGCTGTTCTTATAATAAATGAGTAAAATGCAGAGGAAAGCTTATGTGAAAGCTTGTATGTTTTCTACGTAATTCCATTAAATTTTTAAGAAAAGATTTCTACTCTTAGGGTGCTCTCTTTTCCCTCCTCACCTCCTTGAGAGAGGGAGGGAGAACCACGAGGAAGATTGATAATTTGTAAGACAGAGGAAACCCTCTCGACCTCCTCAAAAGATAACGTGCCTTCAGCGGTGTTGTGACACCCAATCTTAAATATTTATCGAAGGCTTTCTGTCAAAGGCTGAAAACGATCTATTTCATTTTTTTCATTTATTAATTTTTTTGCCAGAAATTTAATTATCAAGTTGTAAGGGTAATTAAAAGTGGCAAAGAAGCTCATGAGAGACCAAAAGCCCTTTTACATGATCGACTCTTTCTAGCAAACATAATAATTATAATTACAATTTAAACGTAGAATAGTGACGAATCCATGGCAGAATAGAAAATCAGTTGAGCTAAAACGTGGCTCAGAAAACTCATGAGGGGTCTTCCGACACCCTTTCCCCTCCTGTAAGAGGATGGGGCTAAAAGTCAGGTTCTGCTCTGAGAATAAAGCTCTAGGTGTGGTATTTCCTGACAGTGGATCTGGTTCGGAATGTCTGGATGACAACCCACATAACTTCACAGAAATGCCCAGCGTCTTCCACAAGAAGCTACCGGGGCAGATTGTGAACGCTACACTACAGTGTAGGTTGCAATTTGGTCAAGGATACTTTCATTGTCCCCAGAGGAAAGTAAGTAAAAATTGAAAGATGATGTTTTTCAGTGAATGACACAGGCGTACTTGAAAAATAACTCCAAGTGCTTTCAATAAGAGTCAAACCTGCTACCTCCTGGTTAGCAAAAATAGTTTTGATAGGGAAACTTTTGTTCATGCGGGCTCGTGCAAAATTAAGAATAACGAACGTTTTCACTTTGTTATTTCATTCTGAGTGCAATAGTCTGAGTGTTACCTTCCGAACTACCGTCTATCAGTATAAAGGTCATGGTCACAAATCTGAAATAAACAGGAAAAGCTCAGTGATATAGAGACATAGATTAAAAAAAAACAGAAACAGAATAACTCAAAAAACAACAGAATAACCTACAACAACTAAAATTGTCAGTCTCGTCAACAACCTTACTTTTATCAATTCTCAGATGTGATAATACTAACAAACCTAACCTTTAAAGTCAATCACGTGCGTAAAACGAATGTAAGAGAAGGGTTTCAAAACATTACGGTTTAACACTTTGAAAGCTTATGAGATGAGACCTGAGAAAAATTCAAAAGGCCTGTGGTTGCTTTTTCATTAGGCTGACTGTGGTGTCTTATACTGCACCAACGATGGGTATAAATGTATATCTCGTGGAGCTCCGCCTGTCGATGGCACGAGATGTGGTGATAGGCACGTAAGTAAAAAAGCTCAAAACAACTGAATTTGAACTTACATTTGAACATCTCTTGCTTCTTGTAAAACTGCTGAGCTTACGTCAACCAATTCCTTGAATAAGCTCTCTAATTAATAAAATAAATCTTGAAAAAATAGACCGCGCAATCTGTTGGTGTAACGGAAATTTTCCTATACCCTTGCGTTTGCGGCAGACTAATCACTGTTCCAGATGTGATCATGGAGACCTCACTCACTTTGGGATTATAATTTCCTTCGAGTATACCATAATTTTGACTTTCTCTTAATTTTTGAAGTGGTGCATTAAAGGTGAATGCGAGGACGACGGCTCTGCGATGATTGACGGAGGATGGAGTGATTGGCTGAACACCCACTCATGCACACAAACTTGCGGTGGCGGAGTGACCTGGAAAACAAGATCATGCACCAATCCTGTGTAGGGATAGCCATTACTCTAATTTTTTCTGCTTAATTCTTTCTTAAGCAATATTACTGAGGATCTAAATGACCATGTACTTCGTTAATGTTTTTTTTGTTTTGTTCTGTTCAGTGAAGTTTGAACCCAGCGATAACAGTTAATCGTGCAGTCTAATCATTCAAGTGAGAGGAAGCCTGAGAACGACTGTTGTCGTGAGCAATAACAAACCATTAGCCTTATTTACATAATCAACGAAACAAACAAACCGATCAGAACGAGCAAACCTTATCGACGGATCAAAAATGATCCTATGAATGACGAAAGATTTATGCTACTTGAGTCCCTCAGCTGATAAGGTCTCGGCAAAACTGGCCAATACGTCTTAACGTACAAGACTTAGAACGATCGGTGAGCAAACAACCCTTTACCTGACTCTAATGATGACTTACTCCCGGCTTTTCGAATCTTCTACCGACAACGGTCCTTTTCAAAATTAGTCTCACTCGGACGACAAGACTCAACGTGATAAACACTTGTTTATTGTTCTTGTTTTTTCTTGTCCTGGTTTGATTTGCAATAGCTCAATTTGTTCCAAAACATTTTGTCAATCGTCAGCAATCAGTCAAGGGACTATCGCATAGTAACTTCTCGCAACAATATTATTTTTTAGGCCACAGAATGGTGGTAAAAACTGTGAAGGATCAAACAAAGGATCATGGGAAATGTGTAACATAAAGGTAATGAAAAACAATCATACAGTGGCTCCGACTGGGCGCGAATTAGTTTTAAAAAATCATTACTTAGTATCTTATGTATCATCCTTAAATCCAAACATGGATAATTTTCAGCATAATTACACTTTTTTCCCATAGCCTTGCCCTGAAGGCTCCACAGATTATAGACTTACTCAGTGCCAGGCCTTTGATCCGAAATCCGTGGTGCACTGGGGATCAGGTGCGTATCTTACGTCACGAGAGGCTAAGCAGCCAAGAATGTAACTGAAAATGTTTCAGAGATGATTAAATCGTTTTCTCTGGTCAGAAAAAAGGAAGAGTTAATCTACGATTTTTTCAAAGATATTATTTGTGATTCTTGTCGTATATTATTTCAGCTGCTTCCAGTTGTGAATGTAGCAGTAATTTATGTGATGAATAGATTAAATGCCAATTCAAACTATCAGAGAGGGCGATCGAAAAAAGCGGAATAGATAAGAGAAAATCTGCTAGCAGTAATAAATCGTTTTCTACACTTGGTAGCATGTACTTCAAGTCAGAATAAAATGTAGTTTTAACTGAAATGAAAATGTATTTCACCAAATAACCTCGCTTTTCAGATCCTTGCATATTAGAATGCCGACGAGGAAGCTATGTAACACCTCGAGGCCGCGTCAAGGACGGCACTCGATGCAACAGTAACCCCATGAGCAAAGACGTTTGCATTGAAGGAGTTTGCCAGGTAAAATTTAAAAATTGGGAACTGACGCATGAAGCACACTGAGGAAAGACAAACATGTCACATTTTCCTGTACTGTCGACTCCGGTGTTCCAGTAATGTAGAAGCATTGTTAGCTTCTCGCTCCCATTTTCATATCCTTGGCTGAGCGGTGCCTAAATACATCCATAAGTAGTTCATTTTTCAAAGAGTCTTGTTCTCTTGCAAGGTTGTCTACAAAAGCTTCCACGGAAGTCCAACCGTGATGCCATCATGGCAAAAACGAGACCAAAGCAAACCACAAGTTAAGACAAAAGAGGAAAACTCCCAACAGTTGGATATTCAGAAATTTTCCGACGTTGAGTCACAATATTAAAGTCAAAAGATTGTAGATTTTCAGTAATAGCAAGGGTTGTAATTCAAGACATTGGTCATTAAATTTTGTAAGAACTGCTGTGGAGACTGATAAAGAACGTCCTGTCATAAAATTTTAGTCTGATCAGATCATTAAATTTATAATACCTATGATAATTAGCGAAAAAATCGAGGAAAAGGTCCTTATCCATGATAAAATCAATCCGTCTCGTTTTGACTAGTAAGCCCCAACTGATACTCGTCTACCTTTTAATGATCTGGTTTTTTTTTGTTTCCAGCCCGTTGGTTGTGACATGAGATTAAATTCAGGCGTGAAGTACGACCATTGTGCTGTTTGCGGAGGCGACAGTTCCACTTGCAGCTTCGTTAGTGGGTTGTACACAGAGAACTACCGTAAATGGGGTAAAAAATCTGAATAATTTTCATTTAACGCAAGGGTTATAGTAAGAGCTATTATAGGTTTCGCAACCTATCTCGACTTTGCTCGGGTTGCATGAATGTATACAGAACTATACGTTTCCCAACCATTGAATAATCGTTTAGATCAGTTTAAAGTCTTTGAGGTCCATGTGCGCTTAAAGGAGCGTCTTCCTTTGATTGATAGTAATTGCCAAAGGTGATGAAATGATCATGGAAATGAAAGGAGTTTTTTAGACAAACTGAAGGTTTGAAAGGGAACTAAAGAAGTGCCAACAGTACCTTAAGTCCACATATAAAGAGCTGGAGTACGAAACCTTTTAAAGTCCTTTAAAATGGGTACCATTTAGGGGCCCATTCTGGGCCGAGTAGAAGCTCTTTACCTCGAAGTCAAGACTATTCCTAGATAAATAATTGTGCAATCCTCGGAAAATATACTTTCGCCGCTCGGTTTACGACGTATATAATTATGAGGACATTTCTCTTGTTCTTAAGTTATCGGTTAGGGCTTATGTTCATCAATCGTTTTTCTTTCAAGGTCCAAATAAGCCGGGCGAAATCATCACCATTCCAGCTGGCTCTACCAATGTCTTTGCCAAAGTCAAGGGAAAAACGAAAAACATGCTTGGTGAGAGGCCTGCTTTTTAAATGATAAAGTAACATCATCCGGCATCTGACACGCAATAAACAAGTGACTAGGAGAAACTTTTTTCTTAATACAAACCGAGTTGAATATCAAATTATTATATTAGTGCTCTCTCAATAAACCGTTTTCACTTTCATTCCATAGATATCAACAGTTACTGCGATTGAGGATAAAAAAAATCGCTCAATATACTGCTTTCAAGGAAAATTTTGTCGCTGCTCCCCTCAGTTATTGCCAATTATTCAATTTTCAACTTCGAATATTGCATTTCTAGCCTTCTGATTGGTTCTCTTAAAACCGGTTATCGGCTCATATTCTGAGTCACTCTATATGGAAATGCATTGCGCATCGCGGAGCTAAAAAGAGGCACCAAATAACCGAACAGTCATTATTTAATGAAATTTGATTAAAACAATTATTCTATTCGCTCTCGTGGGATACAAGATAGGTTATAGCCAACTCGATGCTAAGCGCCTCGTTGGCTATTTACTATCTCATATCCAACGCGCTCTCATGGAGTAATTTTTAAATATTTCATATTATTTTCAGGGGTTAAGAGAGCAGCAGATGGAAAGTGGGTTTACAACGTGGCGTATACATGGAGCACAGTAGTGAAGGCAGCTGGAACTAAAGTCGCCTACGATCACGAGGACTACGTATGGAAGGACGAAGTTGACATCCCAGGACCGACGAAAGAAGCATTGAAACTCATGGTTAGCACTTGTGGTGATTTAGTTATAGGCCTAATAGCGGAGCTCCAGCTCACACATCTACCTATCGACGTGCAATCTGCTTATTGTGTCCTCAATGCAGCTTGTTGCGCAAGCACAGTGCACCTTTGTGTTAGGAAAGATTAAAACTGGTCACTTAAAGACGAACTGTTCCAATTTCGATAATTCGACATACTTTTTTAGTATGTGTCCCCGCTTGCGTGTCTCATGTTCAGGAGCTCCGCTATCAGGTTCTACAGAAGTTCGAAACTTTGGCGCATCATCGTACTTCATCCGTCAAACCCCTAAGATATGATTTGTGATTATCCCTTCAAGTTGCAATTGCTTCGTGTTCTTTGTGAGAAAGTAGCCAAGGCGATTTTTTTGTTCAATCAAGATGATAAAATTTTGATGAATACCTTGGACTATTCTCAATACCAGTTTGCTGCATCTATTAACATCTCATCGGATGTGTTAGTATGAATACTGTAAGGAGCAATTACAGGTTCATCACGTCCGAAAGTTTAAAGTTTAGAGGGACTAGTCCAATGTCTGTGGATTTTGTAAACGTAAGCGCACCTCACCTGTTATTTCAACCCTGCAACGTGCAAAATGAGGCAGACAGAAGATCCCGTTTGGCAAGCTGCAATCTCGATTGTTCTGCACGAGAGGATTCAGGTAGATCAGCACAAATACTTGAATAGATCAGGACAAATTAATGCATTCTACGGACGAATTTCGGTAAATATTCAGTGATCTGGCCCTGAGGTAACGACGGTTGACGTCAAAAGTAGCAGAAGTAAAAGAAGCAAAATTCAAATCATTTTCTCTTCCTTGTACATTAAACCTGTGAGTTTTTTTTTTTTTCTATTTTTCTTTCTCCTAGTATGTTTTTATTGAAGGAGCAAATCCTGGGGTGGAATACCATTTTTTATCGCCCCAAAGGAGTGACGTAACTGCTGACCAAGTAAAATGGAAGATAGGAGGCTGGGGCGCATGCACTCAAGACTGCGCTGGAGGTAATGAGATTCAATCTGCTCGCTACGTTCAGATGAACGAGTAAGCAGAGCTAATTTGTTTTTCACTGGGTAAGGCTGAATTTTTAAGAAAAACAATCAAGGATAGGTGGTGAAAATAGAAAATACGAAAAGCCTACAAAAACCTGAAGTTTCAAACTTTAGGAAAGAACTGAAATCGAGATTGAAAAAACAAATCCTAAATACCGCAGTCACTGATAGTTTTTATGTCACCTGATTCTGGGAAATGAAAATAAATTCAATTGACAATCATAGGAAGGATTTGAATGCCTCATTTGATATAAACGAACTCCGTTCCCAGAATATGGGTATTGGTTATGATTCTGCCTTGTTTATGTGAAGCAAGAGATAATATTTTACTCTAAAGTAATTTTCCAATTAAAAGTCATCAATAGGACTTCCCTTTGATAAAGAAGATGAAGGTAACTAGGAAACCAAAAGAATTACTGATCTCCGTGACAAAGATGATAAGATGAACAGGCAGAACAAGGTTAATTGTGTTTTATTAACAGGATACCGGACAAGACTTGTTGAATGCGTCCGTAAAGATGACGGCAGTTACGTCAATGACAAGGTCTGCCTCAAGTCTGGAGGCAAACCAGCGATGCAGCAGGCTTGCAATACACAACCGTGTCAGCCGGAGTGAGTATGAAAGCAATGACACAAACTTACAAACGGGGGAAAACTTCAGATAATCTGTTTAAGAATCAAATGTCGCGCAAAACGGCGGCGAGTCCCTTCGCCTCAGTAAATCAACATCATTGGAATCCGAGAACTGCTTTTCACGATCGGTTGAAATTTTTTTCTTTCCTGATTTTCATTTCGTAGATGGTACCTGTCAGGTTGGCGGCCATGTTCAAAAACCTGTGGTAAGGGGATTCAGCTAAGAACAATCGTCTGCAGGCGAAAGAAAAGTCAGGAACATTATGAGACTGTTGAAGAATCCTCATGTACTGAGCAGAAACCAGTCGGAAACCTACAGCAGGAGTGCAACATGATCGCTTGTCCGGCTGAATGGAAACATTTAGCATGGAGTGAGGTAAACACAGAAGGAGGTCAGCCGTGATAATCTTGAAGTATATCGCCGTTCGAAATTTTCATTAACTACACTTCCAAGGATAAGATTAAGCTGAGATTGCAAATTAGTTTAAAAGAATTATCCACTAATGCTGCGTTGTTTTAACGGAAACTTCCTCAAAAGCGAATTTCCCATCGGTTTCTGCAAGCAGCCAAAGAAAAAAAGCAACTAACGAACCAAAATATAGCATACAAAATTTTTCATTCTGCATCGTTCTCAGTGCACCCGGTCATGTGGAGGAGGTACAATGACTCGCAGTCTCAAGTGCATGAAACTGAACGCGCATGGAATGCTGGTAACTGTGTCAGACTATCAGTGCAGCCACGCCGTGAAACCCACCACAGAGGAAAAATGCAACACCGATATTGAATGCCCAGGTAAGTAGATATGTAAACACATTTATGATATGTGCCACACTTTGGTGCGGTTGGATCCTCAGTCAACACGTAACAAACTTTTCAGGACCACCCAACACAGACTGCCCAGTAAGGCATCGACAGCATAGTTATGCCTGCTCATTCCACCCTAAAACTTTGCTCAGGAGAGGAGTAGTAAGTAACACCAGTTTACCATTGATAATCATTTATCATATCTTGTTACGATACAGGTTCCATTCTTAGCCCGGATGGCAAACGGTTCATAGCCTTGGGATGCTTCAAGGACGCAAAGAAATTACGCGCTGTTCCAGAATTAGTGACAAATATGCGTGGAAAAATTGATTGGCGTCACATAGAAAACACTGTCAAAGAATGCGCCCACAGCGTAACGAAAAAGAACACTACATTCAAGGTTAGGCTCTTAAAGATTGTGCAAACATACTTTGGCATAATTTGGAAAATCGACGGAATGATCAGCATATTTTTAGTTTTTTGAAGGGATTATTACCAGAGTCATGACGTTTTTGGACTATAAGATTTTTTTTTTTTTTAGTTCAATCCATAGTTCAGTCTATTTTCAAATTTGCAACGTCTTCGGGAAGATGGTTACCGCAATAGTAAGTCGTTCGACGTTTAGAAGACTTAGCACACCAGAAGTAAAGATTGTGTTGGTCTCAGTTCTCGCTTTCACAGGCAACAAAATGGCGTCAAAGAGAAACGTTATACTAACATCGTAAATTTTGCCACGTGAAGTCTCCGCCTCCAGTCTGTAATTAAGCGCAGTATTTATTTATGTTTTATCTGAGAAAGGATGAAACTCAAAATGAAAAGATGCTATGCTTTTTTAACAATAAATATATAATTGGGACTTGTTTGCATGTTTTAAGAAAAAGTACCAAAATCTTCCAAGGCGACCATAAGTTGGAGCATAATTTGGAATAAAGGGTCTACTCAAGATGCCTTCCTTCATGCTTTTCAACAAAGACCAACTGTTAAATTTTCCCTGGCATCCGAGTAGGAAATTGTAGAAATTAACAATAATCTACCACTATGATAAGACCCAGTTCAGTAATAACGTGTCCTTAGAGTCGAATTAGTTAAACAAAGCACGATATTCAACGGCGCTACACGTAGAGGAAGAGTAAAAAAAAGCGGGAGGTTTTAGGACCCGACCCGTTCCACACCTCTTTCGCTTTTTCACTCCTCCGCTACTATCGCACCATTTTTTATTTCGATTTCATTTTATTAACTGAACGCTTAGTCTGGAACAGTATAGCTCAGTAAAAGATGTCGAATTAATCAAGGAAAGTAACAGTTTTCGATGGAGTTTTGACTCAATTATTTTCATTTGAAGGTGCAACGAATTTTCTCACAGAGCAGTATATTGAAAAAAATATCAATGAAATACTTTCGCGGTTCGGGAAACCCAGTGAACACTTTACAATCGAGTTTTGACTCAACTATTTCTATTGTCAGGTGTTTGCATTACAGTTCTACGGAGAATGTTGGACAGGAGTAAATGCAGAAAAGAGTTATAGCGAGTACGGTGCTTCTCCAAACTGTTGGAATGGTGTGGGCGGATTGCGGACCAATTTTGTGTATGAATTTATCGATGATGATGATGATGAGGTAAGCTTAATGAGAGGGCTGCTCTTGAAATCTAACCGTTCGGGGTAGAAGTCCTGAGAAAGACAGTTATCGGTAGCTAATAGTGAATGACATTTTGACGACCTCAGTGGAAGTTATCCTAAGCGAAGAGTTGGTGGTCATTCCCGTGTTACAATTCTGGTTCGTGTTGAGTGATTGGTCAGTTTTACTGTGATGTTATTGGTTGTTGATCTCAAGTAGCATAAATCGGTCGTGATTGGTCGGTTTAAATCCGTCGACAAATTTCACGGCCTTACGCGAAAAAATACGCCTTACGCGACGACTAAACGAGCTATTAGCTAGAGCTATGAGCTAGATTGATGGGGCCTTTGCAAAACCATTTCACAGTAGCTGTGTTTACGAGATAAATACTAAAGTAGAAAAGACATGACAAATTAGTATTCTGATTACTATTCCTAGTATTTTTTCCATCTTGACGCCACCATAGACACCAACGATAATGTGCAAGATTTCACTGTTATAGAATATGCTGACGACAGTTTTAGAAAAAAAAACGGAAGGAAAAAGTCAGCAGACTTGGCAAATGGGGCGGGAAGAGGGGGATGACTCTCATATAATCTGACATATCATGTGTCTATTAAAGAGAACTTTCTTGGTTATTTTGCTTACAGAGTCTTTAGTCCAATCCTTGCCACAGAGCGAATGGCGGCTGAGTGACGACAACGGCAGAATGCGAACGCTAAGCATTCCTTCCTATGATTTCTTGTAGAATACTAGTGCAGTAAATGAACCTGTGCATGAGCGAAAATGAGGAATAAAACAGTGTCTTATCTAGATTAAACTACGTTGTCACCGTTTTCTGATGTTATGGCCCGCTAACTGTGGAAATCATATATGTGAATTGCGCTTTAAGAAATGAATATGATGGTGATCTTCGCAGTAATGAACACTACTGAAGGCCTGACGAAGACCTGAATTTTTCCAGGCCTTATTTCCACCACTGCTTAAGTAGTGTTCATATATGATTTATATATATTCACAGTCATCGATTCATCACTTCACGGGTTTAATACGAACCAACATAATATCCAGCTCCTTGTTGACTTGTTAGCTCAGTTGGTAGAGCACTGCACCGGTATCGCAGAGATCATGGGTTGAAATCCCGCAAAGGCCTGAATTTCGCTATCATATTCATTCCTTATGGCTCACGTTGGCAATATAATTAGCCTAAATAAAAAGGATAAAAGGAATGAGGGGCGGGTTTAGTGCAAGATGGTCAGTCATAAAAAAAATTTTTGGCAATTTTCGCAAGTCTTGGATCTAATTCCATTTCACGACTTAAATTAATTTGAGAAAGGTTTGTTGTCGAGCTGAATTCGGATGGACCTGGCAAATCCAGCTTTGGAAATTGAGCTTCAGCAGTGTGCACACGATTTCAACTTAATCTTTACTGGCAACTTTTTTTTTTATGTGATCTGCGGCTTATCGACAGAACACCGCGCAGTCCTGCACTCTGACGAAGGGCTTACGCTTGAAACGTCAGTTCAAGAAACTCTTTAAGGTGACCAATTTACACCATCAACTCAGTTGATCAAACCAAATTATCTCCCTATGGGTTGCTCAGCGATCTCGTTTTACTACTCTTTCCTTAAAACCTTTTCACTTCCAGCTAAAACCTAGAAGTAATATCTCCTTACAAGATCGAATCAACATTAAGTTAACAGGTACTGAGGATAATAAAAATATATCAACAAAGAGATATTATGTGATTCAATAACAAATGCTATAAACTAACAGCATAACAATTGTACGGGATCGCTTCTGAGATCTCATGAGTGAAAGGGTTAAAATATTCGACGTGTTTGGACTCTCTCTTCCTGAGAATTTAGTTCCACTTTCTCACATAAATACTCGGTTCCCCGAGTATTACCCGAGTGTCTCCCGAACGCTCTCGCGCCATTACCGGGTGGGAGTGATTGCACTTTGTTCTCCTCGAGAAACGTACTACCCATTCCAACAGGAGACCTAATTGGTCCAAGTAATCGTGCCTGGTTGGTTATAGGATTGATAAGAACAGGTCCGAATCCAACTGCCAAATAAATACAAAAGACATCATTTCATTTCATCGCAACAGAACCGGTTTATTTGTGTAGAACACTACTGACACAGATCAAAGTGCAGGTATATAACGATAAATAGGAGGAGAATCTCTGTACAATTTAGCTATTATTTATCTTACAGTGTTTTTAATCTCTAAAAATAAATATATCTCTTCTTCGCATTTCATTTTCAATAATCTTTAACGCTCTGTGGGTTGAGCCATTCAACGATTCCAATTACCAACATCTTTCATTTCCTTTTAGACTAAATTATGATTAAATCTATCTGTGGGAGAAACTTTGGCTAACTTTTATACGTGAATAACGTCATTTTCAATTGAGTGTCGAGAGTAATCCGCGGTTGCTTGGCTTTGTATTACGTCACCCTTGCAACCAATAAGATGCAAAGTGACTAAGTCACTCGCATTTTCCCGCCTTTCTGATTGGTCGTGATATCTATCTGTGTTCCAATTGGCCGTTGTAATTACTCTGGCTTCTATTTGACGACACTCAATTGAAACGCTCTTCTATGTGTTCACCTTCCCTTTACGGTATTCACAAAAAAAAAAAATCCAGACATCTACCATTTATCAATCAGCAGCAGACACTGAAGACATTCAAGAAACAGACTAAACTGAGAAAGTCCTTAAGAGTGGGCACCGATAATGTTGACTTTATCAAGGGGTACTTGCAAGAACTTCACAAAATAGCGGACCACCTCATTAAGAGATGATTACGACATTAATTAAACTTTAGATATGCTTCAAATACTCAAAAGACCCGTTCTCGGAGATGCGAGCCTAACTGCAATACGTCACGCATTTAAGAACTAATTAACCTACATTAACTACAGAATTATCAGTCGATAATATCAAAGTCACACATAATTAAAGATTCGTGAGCTCAAATTTTTCGGTGAGGTGAGAACCTTTGAGGGTTGGTACTTAAAGGTTCCACAGTTTCACTTGCCTTTCTTTCCTACTCCTACAACCGAAAAATGCTTTCAATTTTCGCAGCTGAAACTGTTCACACGGCATTCCAAAGAGTGACATATATTCTAAGGTAGGCTAAGAACACTCTAAGAATAACAGCCAAAAGAATATGGATAACGAGGCTAGGAACAATACCATTATACATCGCAACGATAAGTTTTCTGAAAAAGATTACATTTACAAGACTGATGCAGGTTTCCGGAGAAAAAGCTCAAATTCATTTTCTTTTTTCTCATAACAAATCCTACACATTTCATTCTCTTCAAGGACAACGAGTTAATTTGTTCCAAATCCAATCCAAATCCATAACAAACAAAGGAATTACGATAAACGTTGAATATAGGATTTCTTTCTTAAGTGGCCGGGTTGAAAGCAAACCCATCATATAATTCTTCACGAAATTTATCAATACATACGAAAGTGTAGATCTGCATGAATTATTATTTAAAGACATACTTAGTCATTAACGCTCTTGGAGATAATATCATTGATTAAGACTATTTTTACGTCACAAGGCATCTTCGAGGCTCCATATAAACAGTACCATTCTTCCATGATATCCTCTCTTGGTTACGCACAGTTTATACCACAGTAGGAGAACGTCTTGCGTGACACTTTGCGTGACAGTTTTCTCATTGAATATCCCCCGACACATGAACGGACAAGAGCCTTGCCAGTATTTTACTAATAAATGATTTAAATTCCAGTTTTCAATTTTCTCATCATCGAAATGATTTAGGATATACTTAAAATACCTCTAGAGGCTACCTAGTTTCCCTTCAGCACACCTTACGTTGGCTATCGGAAAATAACTATAACTTAATACGCCTAATAGCCGAGTTGAATTTTAAGACTGAAAAGCACATAAAAAATATCGCACATAAGTCCACTTTACTTCCAACAGTAAAAAATCAAATTAATTTTTAGTAATTTTAAGAACTTGGAGATTGAAACCTAAACATCATATGTAATCAGTTCAGTAAAGTTCTACCCCGTAAACAAGAATTCGCTTTCTATGACGTTCATCACTGTTGCTGGAGGCGCTGCCTTCATCCGCCGTGTTTAACCTTCTTTCACAATTAACCAAATAGCATCTTTTAACCGATATCCATCAGGGCCCAGTTGTCTAAGGGCGGACAACGTTATCCAACGGATAAATCGCTATCCAGTGAACAAGTGTCCACAAAAACATACTGCACCATCCACAGGATGGAGATATATCCAGCAGATAGCGTTATCCATCCTTTGAGAAACCGGAACCAAGCAAACAACATGGACCCAATTAGAACTAAAATCACTTCACTGAAAGCTGTGTGAAGCTGCACTTTGACCAAGTCTTACTTATTTCGATGAAAAAAAACCCTTCGTAGGTCTTTTTAACGTCTGCGATGAAACCTTACTGAGAGACCATTTTAAATGAAAGGTACTGACTAATACTTTTCAGTAGTCACTTTGGTTTTCCTAAGCCCTACAAAATGATTTAGAGACGTTTTTTTGAACGGAAAAGAAATCTGAAGGTAAAGTAGTTAACTAATCTGATACTCCAAAAGAGAAGGCAGCAGAAGGATTACTATGATCGCCAGCAACGAAAACCCCGAGAAGAAAATCATAGCCCATTGCGTATCAGTTAGAACTACCCTGGTCGCCTCTTTGATTTCCGGTTTGCGATCATCACTTTCTGCGCTGCTTTCCAAAATCTTCCTCTTCTTCGGTGTCATAATCCTCGCGGAAGAAACCGCGGAGAAGACACCTTTGATGAAGCCTGGGGACTGGTTCGGAGCATTCATTAAACGTAGTGCGCAAACTCGAAATCGAACCTCAGCAGAACCTGGGGGCGAATTGTACTCGAATTTTGTATTGGGCCCCTGGTACACCTGAAAATGAGAAATAAGTAAACACCTAACGCCACTCATAACTTCGGCCTGATAGGTAAAAAACATTCGTCCGACAATGTGGTAAGTTTAAGCTAACCTGCACAAAATCGGGGTCCTTTCCAACACACTGACTCTGCAGCAAATATTCAATTGGCTCTCCTTTCTTAACAGTTTGTACAGCCTCCCAGCTGACATTCAGTGAGGAAGGTGTCACGTTCTCTACCTTCAACCCTATAAAGACGATTCAATATACGAATTTTCAACCAAGTGATACAAAAAAAAAGCAGCAAGCGCTAGAGTATGGTCATCATATTTCATTTCGCCTCCGATAATTGCCTTTTCACTACACATTTTGATGTAACATTTACAATCCAATTTTAAATGCATTTCAGAATGAGGTTTTATTAGATCTAAGCAGAAATTTTAAAATTTTCATGAAGTAGTACTGTTTTTAACGTTTAACACAGGCACTGGGATTAGAGGATTAGGATGATAGAATTATCATGTAAAGCGCAATTGGTCAGATTCATGTTAACTTACGTAATACAAGCCCTAAATTGTCATCATCATTATTATCATTATTATTACTATTATCATCATCCTCATAATTATTATCGTTGTCGTTATTATTGTCTCATGAAGTTCGCGACGTAAGAGCAACAAGTAGCCCAGAATTCTTCTTTTCTGTCAAAAACCTCTCAGGCGTATTTCACTTGGTATGGGAATTTGTCCTTTGTTCTAACTTATGATTTTTCTTAAGACTTACCATTACGAAAGAACCATAATACAAAAAAAAAAAAAACATCGACACTGAGCCAGTGGGGTTAGTGGACCAATGGTTAGCACACTTACCTTTGACTATATTTGGTGGCTGCGCATTCGTTACAAACGACACCACATCAGAGAAGGACCCAGGCCCCGCGTCATTACTGGCTTGAATACGGAACTGATACTCGGTCCTCTCCAGTAATTTGCCAACCTTGTGCGATGTCGTTGGACCGTTGAAGACAGTAACGAAGCTGAACAAAGAGTACACAAGAAAAAATAGTTAATGTGGTAGAGAGGGAAGCGCTTTGTCTTCTCGTTCTGTTTGGTATGTTTACTCTAGATCAAACTCGGAAGGGGATGGCAGTTGAGGAGTTTAATCCCTCAACTCCTAGAAGTGATTAACATGTAGATTCTCCCTATAATATCCACACATCATCCAGCAAACAGGTTATGAGAATATTCAAACTTATCGGGTAGAAATCATTACCTTCATCTAACACCAAATTCTCCTAACTAATTTACAAAGAAAATGTGCAGCATCTAGAGAGGGGAAAAAACAACTTGATCTTGGGAATTAGAGGGCAGACAGCGGCTTAAATTTGAGAGTTCTTTTCTATGGCGCTTGCTACAAATCTATAAATACTTTCAGTATAAAATGCTAAAATATTTAATCATTGGATGCCAGGGCAAGCCAGAAGTTTCAAAAAACGTCTATTTTTAAGTCTCCTCTAGTGTCAAGAAAACGCAATTCCGATAAACTTCGATAAACTTCGATAAACTCCGATAAACTTCGATAAACTCCGATAAACTTCGATAAACTCCGATAAACTTCGATAAACTCCGATAAACTCCGATAAACTTCGATAAATTCCAGTTAACTCTGATAAACTCCGATTTATTCCGATAAGCTCCGACAAACTCCAGCAGCCATGGCGGGTCAGTCTAGTACCACATAGAGAATTTCACTATATTCTGTATGGAAACTAACCTTCCGTTTTTGTCCAACATTTCAAGTTTGTACGTCACACCAGCAGTGCCTGTCTTGCCATTAGTGCCACGTGACGTCCACCTCAGCTTTAGACTCTGGTAAGAAGGCGTGGCAAGTTCTAACAGCGGAGCGGGAGGGGGGAGGTCGCCAGTGGACGCAAACAAGGTGGCGCTGAAATTAGTAAATAATAATAATAAATTAAAACTTGGGAGCTGGATACAGTTACATGAGTCTTACAAACTAAATCACGGAAAGAATGATAGGGTTCATCACGTTTAGGAGACGGAGTGGGTGGTAATACCTCTGGTCAGACCATGCTCCGATAAGCTCTGATAAAACTCCGTTAAGCTCCGATAAAACCCCCATAAGCTCCGATAAAACTCCGATAAGCTTCGATAAAACTCCGATAAGCTCCGCTAAAACCCCGATAAGCTCCGATAAAACTCCGCTAGGCTCCTGTAAGTTCCGATAAGCTCTAAAAAGGCTGATAGCTAACATCCCCGTGTAGGAAGATATGAAAAGAAAAACACTTTTGACTTCTGCTACCAGAGACCCAAACACCGAAAAAAAATCTTCTACAAAGAAATAACACAATATCACTTTGTCTCACCTAAATGGTCCACAGCCTATTTTGTTTACAGCTTGAACACGAATTCTGGAACAAAAACGAACAAACGTTATTAATAATTCGTTACAGCTTCGTTTATTTTAAGACGACTTACTCACAGTATTAAAAGTGGTCGATTTTAATCACGATCCAACGGATAGCATAGTATAGTATTTATAACCCTTTCGCTACTAAGAACTCATAAGTAATTCTCTTTACTGTCTGCAATCCAAATAATCCAATAATCTCCTAATTGATGTTCATGTTTGTTCTCACTTGTTTGCTTGCATCGTATTAACAATGTAAGGAGAATTTTTGATCACCCGAGGGAGTTACAGAGATGACGCCAAAATTTACCCCTTGAATTACGACTTATCCCTTGAACTGCTAAACGACCTTTCAAGAATCAAGAATCAAGAATCAAGAATCAAGAACTGGACTTGAGTGAGCTTGTTCCCAGCAAAGATGTGGAACCCAAGATCAAGGCCTTTAGACAACGATGAAAAACTAATTCTCTTTACCTGTAAACAGTGTTAGGTTGAAGTTCATTGATGTCATAGTCCTGATAAACAGATGTCGTTTCTTCCTCGGCCTCAGACCCTTCGCTATTGCTGACGTCAAAACTGATGTTTTTAAAGCCGGCCACTTCTACGTTGTATGACGTAATAGGGGCGCCATTGTTTCCCGGATGTCTCCAGCGCAGGCTCACATGAGATGAAGAATTTTGTACCTAAAGGGAAATTGCTAAAGTTAAATATTTCCCTTTTCTTAATGAAAGAAATATACGTACACACCAGAGTCAATATTCATCGCCTGAGGAAGAGGGGTAGTGAGGGGGCAGGTGGGGTTCGGGAGGTCTTTTTGGGGGAGATCGTATGGTTTTTAGGGGAAATGGAGGGGGATCAGTCGTCTCCAACAGAGTTAAAGGGGGGGGCCCTATAAAACATTGACTGCTAATGAGAGGGATCAGTAGAATTCTACAGAGACTTGTGGAGGGCTCAAATAAGATAAAGCTGCACTTCCACCGCAGACTAAAGAATGCTGAGAAAGGATCGCACCGAAGTTACATCACACACAAGACAGTCAATCCGAAGTTGCACTAAAGGCGCACGAAGAAGTGCCGAAGGTGAACGTAAGAACGATGCGAGGGGAACGGACCGAAATCAGATCAAACACAACGCAGTCGATTCCAAGTTGTATCAAAGAGCCGAAGGTGAAGCGTTGTTGTGCTTTTATCAGTTTGAATGCCTACAAAAGTGGAACTAAAGAGAACAAGGAATGAACTAATTGTATGTACGTAAGAAGAAGGGCATTGATTTTCAAACTTACCACTCTTATTGAAGTTACAGCCGAAGGTGAGGCGGCCGGGGTTTGACAAGTACTAACTGGACTCCACAGACTGGGACCAACTGCACTAAGAGCCTGAGGAGAAAAGCCATTTGGTCAGTATGCAACAGATAAAGGTGAATTTAATACTGAAGCATAAAAGAGCGCTTTTCCATTGAGTGACGTAACACCAAAACCAACTAAATCACAACAGCCAATCAGAAAAAAAGGAAAATAACTTAAGAGCCAATGAGAACTCAAAGTGAAAATAACCAAACTGCCTAAAGCGCGGGAAAACTGGGGAAAACTTAGGTGACTTAGTCGTGATTAATTTTAGTTTTGCATTTGATTACTTTCGACACTAAATTGAAAATTGCCTTATAAAAAACAAACCTTGACCCTGAAGTAATAAAAGCTTGCTGGGCTGACTCCTTTGCGGACTTCACACGTTTTGTCTGGGCCACTGTAAAGCTGGACAGAAAAAAAAACTACTTCAAAACAGCTCTAAGGCTGACTTGTGTCACTAAAACATACAAATCCACTCTAGGTAAGCCCCTATGATTCACGAGCAGACCACGAGATGCAAAATTTACATTTATCAGTTAAAGAGAATTTTCATATTCTTATTCGCATGGTGTTGTAATGTAGACTCTTCAATTCAGAAGAATCTGATTCGAGGAACTTTCGTGAAAGAGTCGGGAAGTCTCCGATACCAATCGGTCATACAATGTGCCGTCGGCCCTATATGAGCTACGATGTCAACTGATTATTTAACGACTATTCCAGCTATATATGGCTTCGTGCCCGTTAAGTTTCCCAGGACTTTCAAGAAATGGGCCCCAGGTCCAGTAATTGAGGCGAGCGCTCTTATCACTGCCGTCCTCTACGCTCCGTCCTAACCACTTACAGTAAATAAACCTTGCCACTATTATTACTTCGGTACCTCAGTGAACGCCTCATCTTCCATCCATTCTAAAGTGTATCCAGTCACTGGTGTACCATTCTCTGCCGGGCTCTATTAGACAAAAACGAAAATCGTTTGAACACACTTTGTAATACCTGTGGTTTCGTCAATCGACACAACCACCCAATGATAACACAGTAATTTCTAATCAATCAGAAAAGATCATTAGAAAGAGCGCTTTTCTATTGAGTGTTGTACAACCGAAACCAAAACAACAACGACGGCCAATTAAAAGAAAGGAAAATAACCAGAACTCAAAGTAGAAACAAACTCCTTAAAGCGCGGGAAAACGCGGGCGACCAAATCGTGACTGGTTTTAGTTTTGCATATGATTGGTTAAGAGAGTGCCGCGAGTTTTTTGGACCAATCACAGAACGACGTAAAGCAGTACCAAAGCAATCTAAGCAGATTTTTCTCGACACTTAATTGAAAATTGCTTTTTATCATGATCATTTTCTGAGCATAATTGGTTACAACAGTAAACCTCTTTGCTTAGCATTTGGCACTGATTGCCAGTAAAATCCTCTATCGTTGTTCATTTTAATCAAGCTTGGAAATGCTTTACCGAAACAATTTTATGAATCGAAAAGGCACTTGCAACTTTATCACTTACTTCCCAGGACACGATGATAGCTGCAGCCGAGCGGCATAAGGTGTCCGGCGCTCTTGGGGTGTCAGGGGAGCCTGGTGCAGTGGTTATGTGAGATACTGCTGACACCTTGCCAACCTGTCGACAATGAAAAGAAAGATTTCTGAGACTGCTTCGTACGACAGCGATTACACACGAAAAAAAGAGAAGTGAAGGAAAGAACAGGCTTGAAGTATGAAGCCATTTTGAACCATCACCGAACGAAGATAAGACATCCAAGTCAAGTGTAAAGGAACAGGAGGCCACTGAGCATTCAAACTTAAGTCCTTTCCAGTGCTTTTCGTCCGATGTTTTCAGGTGCAATTGGAATTTGGTTTTTAGGTTTTTGTGGGAGGAAGAAAATCGGAGAACAGAGAGTATCGAAGCAAGGACGAGAACCAGCAGCAAACTGAACCCAAATGTACCGCCGGGTCTGGAAATCGAATCTAGCGGTTGGAAGAAAGTGTTAAAGTTGAAAATAAAAAGAAGTTCTGAAATATTGTGTCTTACCCCAGCCTTGTTCTTTGCTTTTACTCTAAAAGAGTACGTCCTTCCTGGATGAAGTCCTGCTACCGTACACATATTGTCGCAAAGATGGTGGATCTCTCTGAACTCTGTAAATGTAATTAGAAGAACCATAACAACAATAAACAAACTTTACAGCGCAACTGGTGTGTGTTACACCAGAGTCACCCTCCATAAGGATTTTCGTCATTAATAAGCAAGATAAATCCTAACAGGTGGTGTTTCATGGGGTTTAACTCACAATGATTTCGATGGGGTTAGGGACGACGCCTGCTAAAAAAAGCGCAGGAGAATCACAATTGGACAGGTGTGTCATGACTGATCTACCGTACAAAAGTTAACCTAGAAGGTAATTTAGTGTTATCAACTGAGTTGAAAACGTAAATTGGCCATCGTAAAGAGTTTTTAAGAACTATAGCCTTTAAAACTCTTTACGATGGCTAATTTACGTTTTCAACTCAACTGATAACACTAAATTACCATGTTATACTCTCCCACCGACACAGTAACACAGTTTCTTTAGAAAGTTACCCCCTTTATTAACCAAGAAGGGACAAAGAAGGAGAAAGTTGACACATAGGATTGCAAATGATCACATTAAAAATACATTCTGACTGAATTTCTTACCCTTTGTTCCAGGGGTTTCCATCTCCATGATATAGCTTAATATAGCAGCACCCCCATCATAACTGGGTGGATCTACAGCAAAATCAAAATAACTTACAATGAGCCAATTAAGGTATAAATAAGTGAAACAGCAGGTAATATTTTGATTGTCCTTCAGACTGTTATCTTGCAAAGCGTCATCCTACGACTTAAAAGCATTTCTGCAGGAATATAACATTACAAAAGAAAAGTCAAACGAAAGCAGTCAGACTACATTTTGTTTTGTTCGTTTATTTGTGTTTGTTTGTTCGTTTTTTAATTGTTACATTCCCAGTCCAAGCAGGTTACCACCCGAAATTTTGTTAGTTTGCTGGTGCCAGTAGGGAGTGAAATGTCAGTATCTTACATCTAACCTACCCCTCCCCTTACTTAACCCCACTGCAACTTGTTATCAGCTTGCTGTTGTTGGATTAGGGGAGTGGTAGGTGCGCAGTTGCTCAGACACCGACATTCGATTCAAAATGTCTCACCCCAGAACACAACACAGTGACCTCAAGAGGTCTCGCACACTAACCTCCAGGCCCCCCTCTTCTCCCGAAAACTAACAAACAAACAAGTAAATAAAAAACTTCAGTAAGTGAAAGAGTCACATCTGCGTGTCAGGCATTTTCCTCTGAACTTACCCCAACGAAGATCAAGTGTGTTTGGCTGAGGTTTGTTAGATTTTGATAAGACTGGAGGGTTTGCTTGGCCAGGTACAACTGGTAAGGTCCTGATCTCTGTCACTTTGGACCACTGAGAGGAAACATGAAGGCAGTGAGCATCATTACCACAATGCAAGAATCACACTCGCTCTCTGGAACTGAGCCACTGCTAAGCAGGTCAAGACTTCATCAAATACTGTTGTAAAGCTTACCTCACTAGTACCACCATCGCTAACAGCTGCTAAGCGAATTTTGAAAAGATGTCCAGGAGATAAGCCAGTAAAGGTGTAATCACACCCCAGATCTCTGTACACCTCCGTAAATTGCCCTCCTGAAAACAGAGTGGTAAAGAAATATGTTCATATTTCCCTTACTCATGGCGAGTAAGGGCTTCTTAACGAAAATAAAGATATCTTATCAGACGTTTTGGTGTATAGTATCGCTGAGTATTTTTTACGAGTTGTGCCGTATTTTGACGAGCCGTAGGGCGATGAAGTTATTTATTATCCAACTGCTCTTTTTTCTGCAGAGTCTTTCTGCTCATTTCTCGTAAGGCGGGAAAAGCAAAGTGGATAGAGAAGCGTAGCGCGCGCAGCCGACTGGTTAAACAGATCTTTTTACAGTACAACATAACTGTCAAACTAACCGTACAATATCGCAGGATACTTGTAATCTATTCGCGCTTCTTTGTACTCTACTTTGTGCAGTTGGATAATAACAACTGATAATGGTCAAAATCTGTACTTGATGTCAGACCAAAATGGCTCTAAAACCATATTCTTAGCAGCTTCACGTACCCACGTGGCTTATATAAGGGAGGAGCCCCTCCTCTACCGTCCCACTCCCACTGTGGGTCCAGACATTTCTAGCGCTTAATGTCCTGATGCTCTGAAGATTTTCTGTTACAAAGTCTGGTTGTTCAATAACCCACAAGTCCTTACCTTTACCATCATCTGCTTGTAACACATAAGCTGAGATCTCTGAGCCTCCCATGTCCTCTGGTGGCACTAAAATGGCACAAAACTTATCAAAATTTCTTACCCTACGTTCATAAAATAACCCGTACATGTACATTAAACCTTTAACTCTCAAGATCTGATTGTTAATTCTCCCCTTCAGCTGCTACACATTTCCTTGTGCGTTTGTTACAAGAATTTGGTGTTAGATCAAGATGACAACTTTTACCTGATAAGTTTGAGAATTCTCATTACCTCTTTGCCGGATAATGTATGAATATTATAGGGAGAAGTAACATAATAATCACTCCTAGGAGTTAATGGGTTAAGCACAGTTCATAACAGTGGGATAAATGATAAATACCAAACATTTAATAGTGGTTATAGGGCTGAGTGAATGTAATCATATGAGTGACTACAAAATCAGACGGCTGCACCACAAGAGTCTGATTTGTCAGTCATGAGTTTGATTACAGAACAAATTGGATGACACAAAGTCCTGTTACCAATTAATCATAACAATCATAATTTCCCTCAAAAAACAAATACAACTATTTGAGAAAACATCTACGGTAGACACAAAGTCTAAAATAAGAAGTTTCTCCATTTGAAAATTCTCCAGTTTTGTGGGGTAAATGATTGTGGCTATGTTTATTGTAATCAATTCTGTAATTGGTGGATTTACACAGGTGAACTTAATATGATTGGTTGCTTTAACTATCCCATTACAGGTGTCTGACTACAGCCAACTGTCCAATGACACTGTCTGATTACAACTTCACAGAACAATTAGCGAAAAATGCTGCTGCTAATGCCCCAATCATATTTGAGGAAATTGTAGTAGTTGTGGTTAACATAATTATGAATGTATTTTTTGAGCTAACATGAGAGGTCACTTAATAATGAGGCAACATGTACATGGCTACACATCACTTAGCTTTAAATTACCCCAAGCAACAGTGAATCCTGATGATCTGAGTTTTCCTTCAAGAACTGGCCGAGATGGCTGCCCTGAAGAGAAAACAAATTACATAAGGTCAGCCTTGTGGAAGCTGTTGGCCATTCCTGGATTTGTTATATTAATAAGCAAGACGGCCAAATGCTTTGCAAGCAACTTAGATCAGGAATACAACCTGGCTTAAAGTCTTAGTTCATTAACCTTTTCACCCCAAGATGTGACCAAAACAGGACTCCTCCTTACACCATCAAAACATTTTTAACCTTCAGAGTGACTAGCATCTAATTTCTCTCCACAATATCGCACATTAGGGTCACAGGAAGAAAGGAAATTATCACTGACTAAAGAAACTCTTGATTGTTAAACAAATTCTCTTTGTAAATACCTTAGGAAATCTACAGAGTACAGTATGAAGAATATGCATGCTGAACAAAGAGAACATAAACAGTTAGGAAGAAATGTGATAAGAAAAACCAAAAAAATCCTCAAACCCAAATCTCTTGATACAAAATCCATCCCACTGTCCCATTAAAACTTACTTTTAACCCTTTACACCCTAACATCAGTATCTATATTCTCAATACTATTCACTATAAATTTCCTTTGGAACTAACTAGGAGAATTCACTTAACAATCAAAGCTTCTTAAGTTGGGGATCATTTCCTTAATTCTCATGATCCTACTGAGTGATTCAGCAGTATTACTGTAAAGAGAAATTAGATGCTGGTCAGTCTTAGGGTTTAAAGGGTTGATACTGACTGGGTCTATTTGGTTCATGTACACTTACCTGGTCGTTCTGGACAAGTGTCAAACATGACAGTCTCACTCCACTTGCTTTTTCCTTGTGAATTAGAAGCAAGAAGCTGTTGATAAAATGCACAGGAATTAATAAAAAGTGACACATCAAACTGTTACACATGAGTTTGTAAATCCATGATCTGCTCATCACAAGTTATCTGGGGTTGCATTGTCAGGGCAAATCCAGGGGTGCCTTGAGTGGTTTAGTCACACCCCCAAATCATTCCTCAAATCATCTGGAATCATGTTTCTAAAGACCTAGTTTTCAAAATCTCCCAAAGGAGTATGCCCCTAGAAGGGTTCACCTTCAGCAAACAATTCCCTGAACCCCATGATTAAATACTGGAATTGTCCCAATTTGGGCTCACTTCACTTTATCCTATGATTAGTCCAACTGAATCAGATACAACACTAACTGAAACCAGTCATCACTCAATAACTCACAATTTCCCTAGCTAAATCACTGAATTATTTTATTCAAGTTTTCATTGGCTCTCTGTGGTATTTACTTTACTTTGACATTACCTTGAACACAATTAAAAAGTTCTCAAAAGTATTTTTTATAGATATTAACATTTTAACTCTTAAAAATGATTAAAATGCAACTTCTCCCAGTCCTGTCCATATATTATCCACCAAACAGGTAATAAGAATATAACTTAACAGGAACAGGTTGTCATCCTGATCTAACACCAAATACTCATCACTAAATTACAAGGCAATGTATAGCAGCTTCAAGGGAGAGCTAACAAATAGATTAAAGGGTTAAATTAAGCAATTTTCAGGAACATAAAAATTGTATCCAACCTAAATAGAAAAAGATCAAGAAATCTTGAAAGTCTTTGCCTTACCCTGAATTTGTAACAAGTATTTCTTTGAAGCTTATCAATCACACAAGTCGTTTCAGTTCCTCTATACGCCGGACGGAAACCATAGCCCTGGAACAATAGCAATAGAAAACTATTTACATAGTAAAAGGACCCCCAAAAATTTACTTTATATCATGCTTTAAGACTCATTACTTCCATGCTTACCACAAACAAAGCTTTTTTATGCCAAGTTTCTACCTTGAAAATTACCCCTTATAATAAATACTATTGAAAAGAAACTTACAGTACTACCATCCTCCATGTCCAACAAATACTCTGATATTTCAGCTAAAAGAAAAAACAAATTTAAAAAAAATCACTCTATACTCATATTTAACTTTCAACACCATTCAGCCATCATGTATGGCACAAAATGTTTAATTTGGACAGGGAAAAAGAAGAAGCTTTATTGTACCTGAATGTCATGTTAGATAAAAGGGATGAAAAAAATTACTCACCTCCTTTGGATTCTGGTTTACTCCAAGAAAGATTCAGGAAGTTGACACCTGCTTTGTCTAGTGTGGGAGGAGAGGGTGAAGATGGTGCTCCTGCACTGGTGACACACTTCAAATCTTTGCTGAATTTACTGTAAAGAAATAATTCATACAAATCAAAGTTTTTTAAATGTTGTGCACAAAGTTTAACTTACAGGATTATTGCTTCCCCTTCTGGATAGAGATGACAGTCCAGCTTGAGAATGCATCTGCAACAAATACCTGTTTTTTTGTGTTGTTGTTGTTTTTTTTTTTTTTACCAGCAACAGTATTTGGTTGGTAAATGTGAAAGTAATGTCATCCTTCTTCATGAAAGATGGGCTCACTGCTCTTTGTAGCACCTATTCAATGGCCAGTTTTATATTACTTATTTAGATTAAGCCAATCAATCACAAAATAAACTTTTCAAATTATCTTCACTTCTACCATCTTGCTCACTAAATTTCCACATTCACTCCAATTCAAAAATTTAATACCCTCAGACCTTTACTAGAGGGAACAATTAGGGGTTTATTAGTTGATTCAACACCATGTTCTCCAAACTAATATCATAAGAATTGTATGGCAGACAGTAAGGAGAACAATTATTGAAATCCTGGATATGAAAAAGTTAAGAGCACTCACCTAGCTCCTATGCTATTCACAGCTTGAAGTCTGAATGAACAAGGCGTGGCAGGGGGTAGTTTATGTGTCAGTTTAAACTGTCTCTGGGACCCACAGTAACACTCAGTGTAGGGACCCCCCTTCTCACCCTTGTTCCATTCCAGTCTGTATAATGTGATTGGGGAACCATTGTCTGATGGTGCCTAGAGCCAACATGAACACAAATACATTAACTGTTTGAACATCAGAAAAATTTAAGGAAAAATTATTACTGACTGTTACCATAGCTCAGTTTTTTTTTTTTTTCCCGGCCATAACATGCAAGATATAATTATTTCTTCTGGGGGACAGCAGAGGGAGTTAGGGAAAAAGGAGACATTGGAGATCATACAACACACAGATCCAGTCTCAGGCAAAACTGCTGAGACAGTAGTAATGAAATGCAGCTCTTGCACAAAATGCGTTAAATTCATAACTTCCGCTCCCACCTCACACCCAGTCTTCACTGTACACTTATTAATCTTGGATAATAGAACAAAATTTTGTCAAGTTTATTGTTTGTAATTTGTTTAATTTTGAAAGACTGTGATGTGTACCTTTTGTGACAATTGTTTTAACAAAACTAAGTTTAATTGCTGTGGTGTCTCTCATTTTCCATGCTCAGAGGATCAAGCAGGATTGTGTTATGTGTACTGTCATGCATTTCAGCCCAGACACTAACAGTTAAAAATCAAGGACTGAATTGTGACGTCACAATTATTATTAATAATAAAAGTAATTCTTTTATGGGAATTTGAACAAGATCAGAGCTTATGAAAATCATTTCAAATCAAAACTTACATGTATGTATCAAATAAGAATAGGATATATTTTAAGAGACTGACCGTCCATTTAATAGTAAAGCTTGTCTTTGTTTTATTTCCAACATGAGGCTGATTAGGTGTGGATGGAACTGAACAGGGCATATCACAAAGAGCTTCAGGAGAGAAATCTCCCTTGTCACCCTCCTTTTCAGCCTGTAATCTGTAAATAAATAAAAAAAAAACTCAACGATTCATGGTCCTGAATTAATGCCTTAAAAAAGTCTCCCTTACTGGCCTCCCAGTAAATCTCTTGCATTAAAGAAAAAAAAAATAAACAGAGTTTTCTTTCACTGTAAAACTCACCCAATTTGACATTTCCCTTTTGAAATATTTTCTAGTTGTTCAACAGGACATCGCAACCCAGAAGACTTAAAAGAAGAGTTCACTGTTTTCCGCGAATTTTACACACATGCCTTCTCTGTGTATCATGCCAAGTTTCTTGACTGGTATTCAAACTCACAACACTAACACAGCTCTTACCTAAACTTATACTGTGTTCCTGGTTTGAGTTCCTTAACAATAAACTCTTTATCTGAACCACTACAAGTGAAAACGGAAAAATTATATGATCAGTTACATGTTCAATAGTCAGTGTAGCTATTTTTGGTAACAGTGAAACAATGAAACACCCATCTACAGTGCAACAAGCTCAGATTTTTCAGAGTTGTTGTTTAACAACCAAAAACCATAGAATGGTTGCCAGGAAAAAAAAAAGAAAGAAAAACTCAGTTTCAAGAGAAAAATTAAAAATCTAAGTGACATACACATACATGTATATCAGACAACCAAAAAAAGAAAGAAGCAACCACAGACCATACATGTATCTTTCATTTGTTTAATCTTTACTTTGTTGCAACTCTACACAGGCTTTTGAAAAGTGTATTTTTGACAATTCAGGGATAAATCATTTTAAATGGGAAGGGGATGGAGGAGAAAAAAGGTAGAGTAAAGGGATTTTTGAATTGTGATGGGACCAGCTTTCTATTTTAGTCAACAAATAAGGGGTTTATCATCATCAAGTTCAGTGGACAGTAAAAGTAAAAGTAGCAGTGTTGATTATATGTTGTTTTATGGTGACAATAATAGTAACAAAGGTAGTAAAGAAAAAGTTACTACTTGCTACATGAATTTTAAATCAAGGTCATCAATGTAACCCCTACCCTTGAAAATTTAGCCAACAAAACTTTATCCGCACTAAAATGGTCACCAGCAACAGTTTATGTACAGTCACATGTCAAGTAGTTTAAAACCACTTTAATTTGATTTTAATCTGTTGAATTGTTCTTTTATTACCAACTTCACAAGTCAAAACAAAAAATGTAGAATACCTGTAAATTGAGCTATATGGTGACGCCTTGGAGAACATTTGTAGATCAAAACTGCACCCATTAAGGTGGCTGTTGTTGCTAACTTGTCCAGCCCAAGAGACCTTGACAGTCGTACAGTTTACAACTTCAATCTAGGATTTGAACAAGTTTCATGTGTGAGATTGTGATGGTTACTACTATTCAAGCCTTAAGCCATGCCACACACTGGCTTTGTTTTCACTTTCCCTGAGTTCAATTCCTTGGCTGCTCTTTGCATATAGCCAACTTAAGCCTACCTCTGGCCAGTTGGGGTTCTTGAACACTGTGTTCATGTCTATTTACTGTGTTTAATTCCAATTTGTTTGAATTAATCATTTCTATTCAATTTTAGAGAGCAATCAAATTTGAGACTTATAAAATACACCCTAAGAACTGTCACTATTGTCATTATTGATAATAACAAAAACAGCTACTTACATCTGGTTCCTTGTGAATCTTAAGTTCCTCTAACATATTTTTCTCTGTTGTAAGAAAATTGATACAAGCAAGAAATTAATGGGGTGATTATTAAAAATATATGATCAAATATCATTTCATCTTTACATAGCAGCAGTAGAAGAATTAACATTGAAAGTTGAATTCCCTCCTCTTTTATTATCATACTAAAAAATTCCCTTTTTAACAATTCAATGTACTCTAGGAGAAATATTCTGAAAAAAGCTTACAACATGGTATCCACTTTATCTGCCTTTCTATCTATCTAAAGTATCTGTTTAAGAAGTATTAAAATGATAACATTAAGATAATGGTTATTAAATATTGTACAATTAGTACCTTTTATAATTAGGACAAAACATTTGTTTATAAATTCATTAAGAATATAAAAAAAAAGTGTTCTAAAAATCCCTGTTAACAGCTAAAGAAGATAACTAAAAACATTTAATCCACTTTTGAGGATTCTTGTCATGTCATTTGATTGCATAATAATTTGCAGTATATCTTATGCACCTACAGCACTATGGAAACAGACTCATGGTCATAACATTCAATTTGTATGTTTTTACAAGGCAGCTGCACAACCACTTTACAAAGGAGTGATTTCCAGACTACCCAAAAAAAAAAAAAAATGAAAAATGAAAAGAATAATCGTTTTCAATTAAAAAAGCCAAACTCTTTTGATTTCTTTTAAAAATAACTCAATGAAAAAAAGAGATGATGCCCAGTATAAAATACAATTATCTGAAAATCTTAAATCTGCTGATAAGGTCAGCACAATATATTTAGCTCTCTGACACACAAATATAGCAACTGTAACAATTTAGCCTTGTGATAAACTGTGGGCCCTAATTAGTATTTGCTCTAAAAGGTCAAATTTTAAAATACAAGGCATTAAATTACATGGAGCCTTAGTTTGATATATTTGGTTAATAATTCACATTTTTTATTGTAGAAGATCCCTAAGCCATCTCAAAAACTAAAAGGAAAAACCCTTAAGACCCTAAGCACAATATTTGTTGCCAAACAAATCTCACAGTTACATGTATACACATGTATTAGCAATAACCTAAACTGTTCTACTGTCCATGATCAAAAACTGAATGTAACTTTTGTTTTAAATTTGATTTCTCAAACACAAAGCTACAGTCAAGTGTCGTGTTGGAGTTCATATTTCAAGCTTCAATCCCATTGCATAAAACCATTCAAAATGAAAGTAACAGCACATGAATTTTTTTACATTGTATTTAACAATGTTGGCTACCTGTATCAGGCAAAGTTGGCAATATTTATATTCTGACTTAGATCTCCCAGGAACCATTTACCCAACACAATCAAATCCAATCTGGTGTGTGGTACTGTTATCACATTAAAGGTGCATATATCATTTTAGTTAATAAGCCTAAGAGGCTTATTACTAGTAAGCTTACATTAGAAAGAGTAGAACACAATTAGTGGGTGAAACTGACTTGCTCCAAGATCAGCTGTAAGTCGTAAATACTTTTAAACTCACCATAACTTTTAACATTAGCCTAATCACATTGACTTAAAAATTTACTGTAATACCCAATATATTACTGTTGTTGCGAAAACATCATCTAAAGGTAAAGCCGAATAGGAATTAACCTTTTACACTATAATATTTAATTAGTATTAATCTTCTCCACACTGTTCTCTTTACATTTTCTACGATAGTGGCAAGGAGAATTTGATTGACAATCAGAAGTTTCTAAAATTGGTGATCATTTACTATATTCTCATGACCTTTACATTTGATTCGAGGGTGAGGAAGCTTGACAATTACCCCATACTTAGATTAATTTTACAGTAAGGACCACTTAGTAGCTATGGCAAAAAACTTCAAACAGAAATATGTTACGTGCTAAAGAAGTTATCGTTTCTTGTAGAGAAAACTAAGACTTGACAAACACAAGCATTTAAATCGTGAGATAAATTTAAATGTTTGGAATTTTCCACAAAATTTATCAACATTATAATTTATCTGTTTATACCGTTATGTATCAAATGGTCAGACTAATTTTTGTTCCTTGTAAATCAAAATGTAAAAAATTATGTATGTTCAATTTTTCAAAGAACCTTCTAAAAAAATTATAAAAACTCGACTGTAAAGTGATATAGGGCATTTCAAAAATATCATTTACGTAAACTGATATGTTTCTGCTGTTATTTACATGTGCATGTACATGTATTATGGAAAAAACCAACAATATTCCTACTTCTATTTTTACATCCACCTCTAATAATTTTCATTATAACATACATGAATATTCTCTCAAAGGAAAAAAAGAGTCTGTTCGGCAATTACAGAATTGTACTTTAAGAGAAAGAGACAGGAATGTTTTCTTCCTCTTTTAAGTTATTTTTAACCAATTCCCCCCGGCACTTTAATTAAACATACGTAGAACAAAGGGACTTTTTGGTTGATTTCTTTCAAGCGTGTCTTTGTGGCATGTGATCCATGGTACAGGTAGTACTAGCTTCTACCATGATCATTTATAACTTATAGTCTGTTTGTTGACGAAAATATTTAGAAATATAAACCAAAGACGTTAAATAAAGACATATTCGTATGAATACCTTTGACTGGCTTTGATTCCGGTGAAGAATCTATTGATCGAAAAAGAGGACGAATAAGAGATGAAGAAAAAAGTAAGAAAAAAATTAAAGTTACATTCATTTAGCACTTTCTTTCAGCTTTCATCCTCGCCACTTGTAGCGTCCGCTACATCATCCTGTGTGGGTCTATTTTTGTCCTTTCAGTGTGATGGAAAAGAAAACAAGGTCAATCATGGAACACACAAGAAGTAATTTTCCCCCCAAAAAAAATCAGGACGAATTTTCAATATGTTAAGAAAATGATTGTCGTTATCACGAAAGGACAAGAAATATCGCCTCTGTTGACGAAAACTTGTCTACACAACCTTATGGAAAAAATTCGAACCCCCAAGGAAGAAAAAAAAACAAGCCAAAATTAAAAACAGAAGTTTGTGAGCAATAACCCGCGTTTTCTGTTTCAAAGTAGCCTCGATCAAAGAACTTTGTATACTTTATCTAACAATTAAATCGAAAACGCAAGGATTATAGCCTTTCTATAATTACCGTCTTTAGAAGGGCTCGTTTTGTGTTCACCATTCATCTGGGATGAATTAACTCGTACATACTGTTTCAATCCTCGTATCGGCAGTTGAATTATCTGATGGCAGTGGCCATTGCAATTTTCATCCTCTTTTTTGTTCGCCTTCCTTTCCCGAAGTATCTTTTGTAGTTTTTCTCGTTGTTTATCACCCCTTTCGTCTCCCTTACGGACATCGGTATTCGTGTTTGAAGATTGTTCGTTCCCATCGCTGCAGTTGCAATGGTGACAATGATTCATGTGTTGAAATTCTTGCAAGTTCGCAGCAGAGTCTGAATCTAGCTCGTGATAAACTCCATCTTCCGACCGGAAAACTGCAGTGTCATCTGTGTCTGGGTCGACGAGGCGAACAATCTTCGGCAGCACTTGGTCCTCCTCTGAGAAATTCAAACAAATGACTGTACCGGACGAAGTGCGAAGTTCGATCTTGCTTCCTCCAGTTACTTCTTGAGAAGGCATTTTCTTTACCTCTGCCGACATCACAACATAGGATATATACTTATATCCTTAAGTCCTATGTTCCGAGGCAAACTTTTTAAAATAAAACCACTTAGTCTTTACAAGATGTAACTTCGGACGCCGCGTGAAAATATGAAAAGCACCTTTCAGATGGTCGACGTCTCGGCTCGACTAACGGATTTGAGATTCGTCATAACAACACGAACGCGGTCTCTAATGTCGATTAGACAAGTATCAATAGTCTTATAAGAGATAGAACAAGAAAAAGTCCAGTTTCAGGGTCGATTTTCCGTTAACAGCTGCTTCACACCATCAACTTCCACGTAGTCTTTTTTGTTTTCCTCACACTTAACAGCCGCTGACCATAATAATTCCGCGCGGGGGAGGCGTAGGAAGCAATAAGCGGAACCAAAGGCTAAAGGGGGAACATATTTCACTCTACTTCAGTGATTACCGTTTCTAAATTTAATTTTTCCCGTTTGACGATTTCCTTTCAAATTTTTCCAGAGCTAAGTAACTTCTTGAGGATGGTTTTTAATTCATCCGGTGGTGCCTTTCAAAGTAAAATCGATTTCTGAAAAGAGTTTTTGTTAATATAATTACGAAGACCCTTTCTATGCTCTGTTTATTTTACGTAATCAAGGCGCTTTTTATAATTTATTTTTAGTCTAGGAGCTTGTCGCGTATTTTACTTGTGTTAACTAAGTGTGAACTGATATAAAATTATATTGCTGGGACGCCAACATTTCTCTGTTTCATTTCCCGTTTCCACTTGTTCCCATCAAAATACTGGTATTTTTGGAAAACTGATAATCGGTGTGAAATTTCTGAGACAAAATTTTAGGGAAGTCGGATCATCTTTCAGAACATAACTATATTTACATTACTAGTATGAACCAGATTTACTAGTTAATCTTCTATTTGTAATTCTCCTACTGATTAGAAGCTGAGTTAAGACGTAGTTCAATTCAAGTTTTCACCTTTAGCCCTCTCATACTGAGTGACTAACATCTAATTTCTCCTTACAATATCTTCTCTGAATCACACATTAAAGTCACAAGAATAAAGGAAATGATCACCAACTAAAGAAGCTCTTGATTGTTAAACAAATTCTCCTCATCAGCACCTTGAGAAATGTATGATGAACACAATGGAGAATATGCATACTGATATTAGGGTTAAACTTTTTCATGATAACTAAGAAATTTTGTTATATATAGCTTTCTTTTTTTCAGCACTTGTGGCAATATTATTAGATCCAATTCTGTACAGAGCTTGCCATATCTGAAAAAATATTTCACTTTAAGTAGATGGATAAGATATAAGAAAAGAAATCTCCTCAAAATTTAGTTCACTCTCAATTTTATAATTATCTCATCTTGAAATAATCAACCATCCTTTAATACTTAATTTAAGCACTGAACTTTGGATACAAAATATTTTTGAAAAATTCCACCAGAGTTGTTGACTGACCAACACTGTTGACCTTGATCTTTCCAAATTTGCTCTAGCGCAAGTAGTGCTTGTCTCATAGAAAACCAAATGCAAATAGCATAATACACCAAATTTAATCAATGCTTCAAATAAGTTACCTTTTTCATTTTGAGGAGATAAAGAAACATTGCCTATAACTATGTTAATTGGCTGAACATTCCTAGGCCAACATGGAGAAAAATTGTATTATTCAGTCAATAAAGTAACTACAAAATGAGTAGTGGCAACCTAAAAGGGGTCCAGAGTTGTCATGCCATGTATTACATGCTTGAAAATTGGACTAGCAATCTTCAATTGGATGCTCTTCAATCTGAGACAACAGTTTTTAGATAGTGTTTCCCTGTAAACTCTAGTGCGTACAAAAGAAATGAATCAGCTATAATAGCCTACAAGCTAACCTGTTTATTGTCATTATAGTTAAGGATTTCAGTAACCCTTGGAACAGGGGAAGCCTCTCTATGATTTGGAACTAAAGCACTTTATAGATAAGTTACAGGGAACTTAAAATCTTTCTTAAAAATATAAATATATCTACATTAATAGTTTTGACCAGATTTCTTATTGAATCCTTCTGTCATGATTTCCTTCCATTGGAAGCTTAGTAAATAAGTTATTAGTTCAATCCAGGTTTACCTCGGGTCAGGGATACATTTTCTCACATTTTGGAGAGGAAACTAAATGGAATATGCATCAGTTGCAAATTATGATTTGATGCATCAATCAACAAATATATTAGTTTTCTAATGCGAGCACACAATCTTTCACTCATGAATTATCTATATCCATTTAATTCAAACACATTAATTTTTTAGCAACAAAAAAGGTAACTATGACAATGGTTACTTACACTTTATATTATTGTTGAGGTTTCAAGAGCAGTTGGGCTCAGTCAAATACACAGAAAATTTATTTACATAGTGCCCAGCCCTAAATGAGACCACTGCTTGAATATGAAAGCGATCTTTGCAGTAATGAACATTACCTGAGCAGTAGTTAAAATAAGGCCTAAATAAAATTCAGGCCTGTACGGGATTTGAACCCATGACTTCTGCAATACTGGTGCAGTGCTCTATCAACTGTCAGCAAACAAGCCAACTAGGAGCTGGTCATTGTGTTGCTTTCAAATAAACCCCTGAAGTGATTAATAAGTGTCTATGAATATATGAAAGTCATATACATGAACCACTGCATCATCATACTTTTGATCAAGTTTCTATAACAGTTTTGTTGTCTTGTCAGTTTAACCCTTTACTGTCAGAGTTCAAATATGCTTAATGTTTGTTAAGAACAAGAGACCTGGTTGATCTGCAAGAGTTTACTTGTGATACTCATTGTAGACATGTGTGTCAGTCGTTTAATCCTCTTTGAATGGGCATGAAAGGACAGTGGTGAATACTCTACTGAAGTCCATAATTTACAAGATACTGTCAAACCTGTACTAAGCCTTTAACTCCCATAAGTGACCAAGACAGAAGTTCTCTTAACAATATAAATACAATACCATGCAGACAAGTGAGGAGAATAAAGAAAAACATCAATTGGGGGATTATAAGTTGATCCAATCCTAAATTCTCCAAACTAACACCACAAGAACTGTATGGCAGACTTTAAGGAGAATTACCAAATAGATCTTGGGAGTTAAAGGGTTAAGTGGTCACTTATAGGGAATGGTCCAGGGTAACTGTGTTTATATAGGTTGACTGCTTAATACAGGTTCTACAAAAGAGGGGTTATATTTATAATGATAAATAATACCATTTTATACCAAATTGACCACTAAATGTACTAAAAATCCCTCAAAATACTACTAACATTGATTTGGGAGAGAAATATGGATTAAATTTCACATGAATTATTCTTCCTATAGCTTTATTTGAGTGGTTTTGTTTTAGGAGACCATTCATTACAGGTGGAAGACAATACAAACAGGCTGTTGCAACTTAGTTAAGGGTGACCACAACCACTTGATAGAGTTCACTGCTCAAAATAGGTGAAAATTACTGTAACAAAGGGAAATTAAAATCGGGACTTTGACAACAAACCACTTAATACAGGGTGACCACTTAACATGGTGCCACATAATACAGGTTCGACTCTCTACCATTTTATTACATCCATTTTAAAATCACTTGTGATCCTTGCAATCTGATTGGCTCTAACAGGTGCAATTTATTCACAAATTGCACCATTTTATGTTCTAAATGGCACCTTTTCCCAGAAAATGACTCAGCTTTACTAAAACAACAACCAATCAAATTTCAGGGCTTGTTTAAAGAAATTAATTAATCAAATTGCAGGAAAATGAGAGACAACTTTGAGAACTCAATTGTATTGAGTGACTGAGTTTTGCACTTTTAAAGTAAATGTAATAAAGTGGCAATTTAATTTCACATTGCTCAATTTTCATCTGAAATCATACTTGTGATTTCTAATCAAACTTGTGCTGCACATTCATTTAATGTTGAAATCATGCACTTGATTTCAGACCAAATTGCAGTCCACTCAGTACAATTACCATTATTGATCTGGTAAATTAACAAATGAATTGTCTTCATGCAAGAAAAGCTCAGGTGTTCTAGAATTTTGCATTCTGTACTCCAAACCAACTACCACATTTGGTAATAACTTTCTTGCAGCTGGATTTAACTCAAACATAGTAAACTGTCCTTGACCCAAATCAAGAAAATCAGAGTTTGTTAACTTTTCACCATCCCTAACAATTTTCCCAACTTTGTTCACCAATAATTCATTGTCCATCCCTGTTCTCACAGAGGAACCATAATGATGAGGGATTGAGAATATGGCTGACTCTGCTAACCCCCTAGATTCATCTTTGTTGACAAGATTCCTCTCTTCTTCTTGTTGTACTGACTTTTCATGAAAAAATTCTACCTCTTCATGATCAGTTCCATCCATCTTATTAATTTTCAAATAATTCTGTCTGTAGTTGTCCAGTGTTTTGATGTCACTTGGTAAAGAATCATCCGCTTTTGGATACTGTACATTTTTGTATGAATTACAATCTGCAAAATCTTGACTTTTGTTGCAATTGTTTTCATGACTTTCTTGATCAAAATACCACTGAAGTAAATCATCACTGTAGCCTGTTAATGCTGTAAGGACAACAGGATAAGGAGAACCCATGAAAACCTCATAGGCACTTTTGCTGTAACTGTGGAAATAAAAATCAGATTAACAATAAGCCACTCTAGCCTTGACAGTGGCCAGTCTAATATTATTTTGTGTAAAAGACAAATTGAATCATTGGTTTGCAAACTGGACTCCACAATAAAAGTGAATTGTTAGCTTCACTTGCAGCCACTTTGTGGTGTTCTTGAGCAAGACACTTAACCCTTTAACTCCCAGAAGAGACTAAAACATAACTTCTCCCCATAATATCCATACATTATCCAGCAAAAAGGTAAGGAGATTACTCAGACTTATCAGGTAGAAGTTATCATCCTGATCAAACACTACATTCTTGAAACTAATTTACAAGGGAATATGTAGCAACTAGAGGAGAGAATTAAGCATCAGATCTTGAGAGTTAGAGGGTTAACTCTCACAGTGTCTCACTCCATCCTACAAAAAAAGTGGGTGCTGTGAATCTTCTGGGAGGGTAGGGGGACTGCTTCTGAGAGACTATACTACTGTGTAACATGAAACCTTTACCTGTTTTAATATTTTTGTCCTCAATCTAAGACAGTAGATAATTAGCAAAAGGGTCACAGTAACTGTGCTATTATATGTACCTGACAAAGTTCAGTTGTACAGTTATGAGGCATGTAACATCAAACTAGCATTCAGGGAATGCAGAGATTTGGCTTTGTATCAAAAGAGGAAAATCTTTAAAACTTTCTCACAAGATAGAGAGAGATCCCATGAACCATCAGACCCCATCTCCCTTCTCATACACACTCACACTTGTTACATGAACTTGTGTCAATGTTAAAACCCAAACCAGCTGAGCCTCTTTAGTCTAAAACAGCATCGGCTGGAGAATCTTCAAAGGCACGATAATCAGTGTCCGATGAGAAATGTGGCGACGCTCTCCCCCTGAACAAAGAACATACCCCAGAGATCTAGGATCTTCAGTTCCTGCTAACAATTAATTTCCTACTTACCCACTCTCTGACACGATGATACCCAGAGTTCCTTTCACTTCATGACTCAAAGTACCCTCCAATTCACGTACATGCTTTGGACCTAAGCGTCGCTTGTGGCGCCTACACTGCCCAATAACACGCACAGGGGACGATTTCAAAAGCCATGCCCCTCTAAAATCAATACCTCTGTCTCTAGGTCCACCGCAAGCAGTTACATCAAATGAGTATTTCTTCAAACTTTCAGCAACAACTTGTTCAAAGTATCTGCCGATATCTTGTCTTGTAATCGATGAATGGCATCTGGAGGAGCTACACCGAGGAGAGACCGAGAAAATGCAAAATAATCTCGTCAGCTTCCACATGTTAACGGTGTACCTCAGTCGAGCTCCCACGAAATTTTAGGAGTGAAGAGAAAATTGGGAACGAATTTAGGAAATATCTTATCGTTTCCAGGTTCCACGCGATAGCCGATAAAAGAGAACGGGTGCACGCAAGTACTGCCCAAAATTATATATTAGTTTTAAAAAATGTAGAAATCGCACTGAATCAAAATGAAAAAGAAAGAAGAGCCTGAGTCCATACAGTGTATTAAGAAAGCTAGGTCTGCAGAAAGTTCTTCGTGATTGAAAAAAGCTGTATACGACGCATTTAGAACATTGCGGGGATCTATTCCCGGTGACACGAGAGGTTCTTGAAAAGATTTGTTTCTTTACAGAACATTGGAAAGTTTCAGCCAAGATTAGTGAGGAAATCTTTCACCAGCTGGATGAATTTTACTTCGAATAAATTTCGCTTGCACCGACAACGCTGATTGGCTCTTACACAAAGGCGTTTGTTCTTTTGAGCCCAACACAAACATTTCTAAAGTTGTCACAAAGCCTCTTAGGAGTATCAATCCAACGAGATATAATATTTATCGTGCCAATGTCTGCCGTTTAAAGAAACTTCTGGTGATTGTGAAGAGACGATGAATTTCTCAGGGCTACTTCTAGTTACATTCACCTTTGTAAACCTTGTTCTTACGGCTTCATCTTCTCTCAACTTCTACATAAATCGTACGGAGTCAAAGAGAATTCTCGGTGGGTTACCGCGGTGGTCGAGCGATCGATAATAACGAAATTCTCAGAGTCATGCAATTCATGCAGAATCCAACCGAAATCTCTCTGTTGTTCCTCTCTTGGGCAGGTATTGAGGGTGATATATACTACATACGAGATGGCGAAGTAAAAATCAATGCAGTGAACTTCACTATGACCGTCCCTTCGCGAGTAGACTGCTTGCGATTTATATGGTACTCTACTCGATTTCCTTTAAATTCTGCGGTAAGTTTTTAATTTGTGCCATTGTGTTAAATTGTTTGTTAAAAGGTAGATCTGTTAAAAGTTTTCCGAAGTCTCTAAAACTAGCCACGTGAAGCCTACTGTTTTCCGCGATTATTTCTGCTGCAGATGACACACTCCTTCGCGCGACCTCATTAAGTAAAGTTTTTTTTCCTTACACGTTCTTTTCCGTGGCTTGAAGGACCATCATTGAACCTCTTGAGTGTAGCTTTTGAGTTTTATTGAATATTAATTGAAACAATTCTTTTTTTTCCGCTTTTTTCCTGGTTGTATATCTAGCCGCTTGTAACTGCATGTTATGATTTTTGTTACGCTGCCCTAGAATTACTTTTGTCCTTTGCGCACAACTCAATGATAACCCTTCATCTCTTTTTCAGAGGTACTCCTACGTTTTAAAATTAGCATCGTTTACTCCTGATCTCCTGATGAAGCCCTCAGTAAACATCAAAGGGAATGGAAAAATCCCAGAAACTAAGAAAGGTTAGTTTTGAATCATTGATCAATCGTCCTTAAAACGTAGCAAACACTTCGATAAAACTCGCGGCACACAAATATATCAATGTACAGTCGGCATACTTAAGATGTTCTATAAAGGCTGACATTTGTTCAGAAATGCATAAGGTTCTAAGCGAAAGAGTGCTACCAATTCTCTGAAGTATAAAGTTTCCTCGACGTGAAGTGCTTTCAGCGATAAGGCGCGCGGCTAGGAAATAACTTGAAACCAATTAATTACTAACACAAAAGATGAAAACGTAATTTCACCTAACTTTGAACAAAAACAACAGTTGAGCATGTTTGATCAATCTCTTGAACGACCCTCGTCACTTTTAAATGGTAAACTATGCCTTCTCCTGGCATGTTGACAAGTTCGGTGTTTCAGAATCTCTAAATGATTTTCATCGGCGAAACATTCGCGAGATGACATAGCGTAATACGAGACATTTTAAGAACTCTGAGCTCATCTCTTATCCTTCAAAATTTTTCCCCCGAAGTGCACTTTTATTATTCGATGCTTTACTTGAGAGCTTTTTTAGATGTTTCAGTTTGCTTCAGAAAGATGAACTAAAACGTAGAAAGCATAAAATTCGTGTACGATGTCGCGTTTGATCGCATGTCACTGAATGAGTGAAGCGAAGTGCTATTTGTTTAAACGTGTTGGTTTGTGAGATTTAAAAGATAGGACCGGGAGGCAACTCACACATTGCCATTTAAATTTTCATTAGTTTGACACCCACGAAAACGAATGGGAATATTAGAAACTAATGGAAATCATCCCGAGTAAAGCACACCTTTCTAAATATTTTTATTTATGTCTTCTGATGTGGCCTTATAGGGTATTAAGATTCCTTTGTAATCAGTCCTGTAATTAAATAGATATTCTGCCTCAAATGATGAAATGATTTTTATACGATTGAAGCCTCATAACTTGCAAAGTTCCCAAATTTTAATCCACATGAGATATCGCTTTTGTAAATTTTGAAGATAAAATTGATCAGGCAATTTATACTTTTCTCTTTGATTTGCCTCTTTAATTGAACTCCTACAGTTCCTTACAGAAATTTATGCATATGGTTTCTCAATTGATATTTGGGGCTTAAATGGCTTAAACTGAGCCAAGTAAAGCCAAAATATGGATAGTTATCATGCAGATTGCTGTTTGCTAAACTGGAGAAAGTTTAAATAGTTTCTCTGTCTTTTAGTTGGGACAATTTTTTTTACCTTTCTTTTGTATTCTTAATTTGGGAACACTCACAATCTCAAATTGATTATTATGATAAAGAATTCTTGGTTCAAAGTGGTGCAATCTCATGATGAGAATTTTCTAGGCAACCCTATAATTATTCTTGAACAAGTAAGAATATATTAAATTATGTCTTGAAGGCACTAGTTAATTGCTGTATATTGATCCAGTTTGTTAGTCAAGAATGAAAGCAGAGCTCTCAAGTCTCACACATGGAGCATGAGACTTATACAAACAAATTCAGTCTTAAGCTCTCACACCAAAGCCAATTTTTCTCACACATTAAAGGTTTCTGAATTAAACTGTTGATTTTAAGTTAGAAAACTTTATTGCTGCTTTATTGAAATTCCCTTTAAAAATTTATTATCCTTTTAACTATAGTTATAGTGTACTCCTTATTCCCCATGTGCTTGCTTGAAGTACTTTCCAGCTGTGGAAATTCTTGTTCAGAATAAAGGAACATACTACTCAGCCAATTTGAATTTTTCACATTTTTCTGGGGGGGGGTATGTCCCCATACCCACCCCTTCCCTTTTCTCCCAGGGAGGTGATACCTGTGATGTCTCACTCTTTGCCAGCATATCAACTTGAGAGCTTTAATGAAAATACTGTCCAGTTCTCTTTGTTACAGAGTCAGCATTATCAGCTGCATTGTGGGTAAGGTGAATAATTCTTTCTTTTTTTGCAGAATTTTGTGTTAATATGACATGTAAAGGAACTAAATCAGGCACAGCCCAAATGATGATACAGATTAATATAACAGGAGAGAGAAATTTGGTGTTGAATCTTCGAAGGCTAAAAACATGCAGAAAAGGTATTTACCACTTTTTGTTGAACATAGGTAAATCCCAGGAAACTTGTTATGCATTTTTTTACAGCTTACAGCTTTTTTACAGTTATAACTCATCTCAACAAACCACCATACACACACTCCCCCCCATCCTCCCTCTAAAAATGCATGCACTGCATGTGTTGGGAAGCAAGGAGACATTTATAAATAATTTCTTGATTATTGTTATCACTTAATCATCACTATTACAACTTTCATTTGCATGAGGCACAATGTAAGATTGGTTACTTAATTTTGGCATTGAAATCATGTTGTTATCACAAGCAACTGGCTATGTTTCCAGTTGCATGGTGTCTGTAGACTTATTTTTACTGGCTCTATCCTTGTGTTGGCATTTACATGACTCTCGAAGTTGGGTTACCATGAGAAATAAGGAAGATTGTGTGTGACAACACTGTTATTTTACAGTTATTTTATTTTTTGTTTTTTTAGTTGTCCATACTACTGCTATAAGGAAACCAACTGTTGCTCAAATACCAAATGGTAATTATGTATTTTTTATTAATTTTGCCATAAATTATATTAATAATGATAATTTATCATTATGATATTTATTTTTAATGGTAAAAAGCAAGAATTATTATTTTGATGCATCACTTTTAGCAATGTTTGTTTTCAGGTTAAGTTTGAGAAGACAAGTTTTGCTGAATGTATTACATTCTCATAGATGTTACTACTGTATGTTCCTATCAATTGTGATTAAATATTGGGCTAAGGGAAAGTAAAATTAGTTTAAGTTAATGGGGGGTTTGAGTTACATTCTATCCCTTGAATAAAATGTTTAGGTCACAAGAATAAAGGAAATGATCAGCAACTAACAAAGCTCTTGATGGTTTTACAAATTCTCCTCATTAAAACCCAGCAAATGTATAGAGAACAGTATGGAGAATTTGCATAATGATGTTAGGGTGTAAAGGGTTAAGTGAATTCAAGGTAGCTGATAATAAATGACTGGAAAATGTGTCAAATCCAAGGGAAGTCAGATTCTGTTTGAGTAAGCAGGGTTCTAATGTAGTTCTTAAAACAGTCTAATTCAAAACCAGATTTGAATTTTGTATTTGCTTTGATCTTTGTAAGATGTATGATGTATTTACTTGGCAAGCCTCAAAATAGAGTTTGTGGTTATGTATAGAGACATTCCTAAATGAAAACTGAAATTCTCATCAGAACTATTTCAGTTTTGGAAAATATTAGTTTTTTATTCATTTTAGTTATCTTTAAAAGATTTTCAAGGTTAAATGTCTGGAATCTAAACAAATAAATCATTTTAATTGTTTGATAATAAAATGCAATCAATCTTAGTCAAAATTATTATAATAATTGTTGGGGATTCAAAGAAAACAATGCCATCTCTTTCCCTCTTTCCAAAAATGTTTTTTTTCCTGACCACTGGGAAATATTTGTTAAATGAATATTTTCAGATCACACTGAAACAAATCCTCCTATGGATAAAACCACAGTCTTCTACATTGCAGTCGGAGTTGCTTGTAGCATTATTCTTGTTATTGCCCTTGCTGTGGCTGCAATTCATG